CCTTGTGCAGTGAGTGTGTTCTTGGAATGGCCCCTTCACCCAATGTGTGTGCCACACTGGGTGAAAGCGAGGTAGTGTGTCCTGCAGGTGTCTCCCAGAAACAGAGATGTCCACAAGTTATTGACAAGAAATGATACCGGCCTCACACCAGCTGCTAGAGAGAACAAAGAAAGAACGCCACCCAACCCCTCCAACCCCACGCTTACACGTTGACGAGGACACTACTAAAGCAGAATTCTGCAGGCCTCTGAATGTTAGATACACAGATGGAAAATCCTAAACAGAATGCTGGTGGCAGAGGAAGAGAGAGCGTGAGTGCACTGCTTCCCTCTGCTGCTTCGCTCATCAGAGGCCCACACGGGGCTGGATGGGTGCAGCTAGGAGCCTGGGACCCAACTAGTCTCCCATTATGTGTGCGGGCCAAGGGCTTGAGCCATCACCTCCTGCCTCCCAGGGTGCTGGATGGGGAGTCGAGCTAGAACCAGGCCCTCCAACACGAGACACGGGCTCCGAGCTGTGCCCAACACCCCCACGAACACTTAGTGTGAGCTGTGACGCGTGGCCACATCTGTCCCTTGTGGACAACACCCCCCATTTCCGTCAGACACGTACTCAGAAGCTGAATTCCAGGTGCTGGGAAATCTGCAGGTGATGGCGGCAGTGGCTGAGTTCATCTGAAGAACTAAAATAAACAAGGCTGGTGTTCTGGGTCATGGCTGAGGGCTCCCCAGTGCGGGGCTGAGGAGCTAAGCCTGGGGCTCAGGGAACCAGCGGGCTGTGGGCATGGGGTGGGTACAGGGAGAAAGCCCAACCCTGGCTTTCCAGAACTTTCAGGAACTCAAAAGAAGGCATGGCCAGAGTCCCTGGGGCAGGCCATGACTCAGTCCAGACCCTTGCTCCTACCCTGCTCCAGCAACAGCCAGTAGAACAAGCAGGCAATGGCTAAGGCCACTGAGCATCTGGGTACAGCTGCTGCTGGGCCAGCCGTGTGCGCCCAGGGCCCCACGGGGGCAGATTTGCCAGCTGGCAGGCTCACCCACACCAGAACCTGGCAGTCCCCCAGGGGAGTGGGAGTCAGCTCCCCACTCCCCATAACAACCTTCTCCGGATGAATTACCTGCCCTGCAATTAATTATGCAATTATCCAGGTTGGCTCGTGAGGAGCGGCGATCAGATTGTGGCGATGGGCCACAGGATAAAAGTGTTTCCACTCGGCAGGGTGGAAAACATCTCCAGGTGGGAGCCGCGGTGGCAGGCGCCACAGTCCCTGGCATGTGGCCTTCCTTTCCCAAGCCCAAACTGCCGTTGGGGAGGCATCTGCCCAGTGACACCAGCATGGACATGACCAGGGCCTGTGAGGGCTGCTTCGCTGGAATGTGGCGGCCTGGGCGCCAGCAAGAGGGCAGGGACTCCTGGATGGGAACTGGGCGCCAGGCAGGCACAAGAGCTGAGGCTGGGTCTCGCGCTGTTGGGTCTCGGGATTTCCAAGGGGGCTCTTTCCTGGTGAGACTCAGCATTCCCAGTGGGAAGAGGAAGGGAGCCAAGTAGGGGTAGATGTGGGCTGATCTCAGCAAGAACTTCCGAGAACAATGGCCACCAAGACCCAGGACATCTGGACTCTGGGGTGATCAAGAAACCTCAGGGAACCTCCTCAGCTCTGCTGCCCACGCCAGGGATCCCCACGTGGGCCCCGTGACATGGCCACCAGGCCACAGGAGGGTTTGACGTCCTGGAGGTGCTGTGCTCTTTGCCGCCTCCTCGTGGCCCGTCCAGGACACTAGTCTGTGCATGACATTGGGTGAGATGGCAGGAGAGAAGGCCCTGCCCTGCAGATGGGTGCTGGGAATGGACACTGGTACCACCAGTGACGCTGGCATCCCACATGGACGCTGGTGCGAGTCCTAACTGCTCCACTTCCCATCCAGCTCCCTACTTAGGGCCTGGGAGAGCAGTGGAGGAGGGCTCAAGGTTTGGGGCCCCGCCACGTGTGTAAGAGACTCCTGGCTCCCGGCTTCAGGCCAGGCTCAGCTCTGGCCATCATGGCCACCTAGAAGGTGAGCCAGCAAATAGAAGAATTGTCTCTACATAATTTTCAAAATAATTAAACACATCTTCTTTTTGAAGTTAGTGTTCTTAGCAATGCTAATTACAAGGTCAGCAATATTAGTAGTGTTAATCAATACTACTCACAGTATTAGTGATAAGAATAATGTTAATAATACTATTTTTCAAAGATTTGTTTGTATTTGAAAGGTAGATGTTTACAGAGAAAAGGAGAGACAGATCTTCCACCTGCTGGTTCACCCTCCAAAAGGCCACAACAGCCTGAGCTGAGCTAGTCCGAAGCCAGGAGCTTCCTCTGGGTCTCCCAGGCGGGCGCAGGGTCCCAAGGCTTTGGGCCGTCCTCGACTGCTTCCCCAGGCCACAGGCAGGCGCTGGATGGGAAGTGGAGTAGGCTACATGTCCTTGGCATCATGAAGGTTGTATGTCTGGCAGTCATGCGGCAGGCATGCAGTTGGTTGAACCGAGTTGGCAGTTGGTAAAGGACTCAACTCAGCTGGTAAAAGCTGTGCCAAATCTGGAGCTGGCATGGTGGCTCAGTTAGGTAGCCTTCCACCTCCAAGCACTCGGGTCCGCATGTGTGCTGGCGTGTGTCCTAACTGCTCCACTTCCCATCCAGCTCCCTACTGGTGGCCTGGGAAGGCAGTCAGGGATGGCCCATGTCCTTGGGTCCCTACGCCCATGTGGGAGACCCGGAAGAAGTTTCTGGCTCCTGGCTTCGGATTGACTCAGCTCCAGCCACATGGTCATTTAGTGAACCAGAAGGAAGATCTTTGTCTCTCTTTCTCTCTGTTAAATCTGCCTTTCCAGAAAAAATGAATTTAAGAAAAAAAAAAAGATGTACCAAAGCTGACAAAAGAACTCCAGGAGACCGCATGGCAACAGCGCTAGACTCGCTGTGACGGGATTCATCGTCGTCCTCATATAACTGATCCATATTCCTATTAGTGACATCATTTGGGTGCTGATACTTGCTTAAAGTCTTTATCTTGGAGATTGAAGGCTTGAGAAGCTCATGGAGGAAGTCTTCTGCGTGTCTGTTTTTTTTTTTTTCATTTCAAGACTGTTTTTAAATAATAAAAATTGAGCAACCGGAACATGAACTGACAATCACAGGATCACAGGATGCTGGCACCACAGGGTGGAGGATTGGCCTACTGTGCCACAGTGCCAGACCCTAATTATCACATTCATTGATAACTTCAGTAATGGAAATCACTTCACCAGTTAGTACTTCTAGAACATTAATCATAACATCAGGAGTGTTAATTAGTAGCGTTAACCATATTAGTATTATTAGTAATGTGAATTATACTATTAGCAACGCTCATCCCAGCACTAGGCAGTCATGTTATTCACACGAGTTAACCATTTGTCACGCGGTCTCAGCAGCCTTCTCTGTTTTTCCTCTTGGGAGCAGAGGCAGGCACGGCTTGTCTGTTGGGGGCATGCTGTCCTCCAGGTCCACGCGTGCACAGTCTGCCCTCGTTGGGCTGAGCAACATTCCATGGCAGGTGTCGGCCACGCCACATTCGCCCACCCCTCTGGGCATGCGTGCTGCGCCTGCTCTGGCTTCAGCAGTGGGTAGCACTGCTGTGTTGGTGGCTGTGTTCCTTTTTTTAAAAAAAGATTTACTTACTCTTATTGGAAAGGCAGAGTTAAAAAGAGAAGGGGCAACAGAGAGATTGAGCTTCTATCCGCTGATTCACTCCCCAAATGGCCGCAAAGGCCAGAAACTTCCTCCTCGCCCACGTAGGTGCGTGCAAGGGACAAGCCCTTTCCCAGGAGCACCCACTCCGGTCCACCCAGCCCCGGCCAGGAGGAGCTGCCCAACCTGCTGGCCTGCACCTGGCTCAGAACTGCCTGGTTCTGGCAGGCTTGTCCCCAGGCTGCACGAGGATGTCCAGCTTCTTGCTGTTCACCCGAGGCTTCCCTGACGCCGGGTCCCTGGGGTCCAAGCGGTCCCGGGGGGCCGGGGCGCTCCTGGCTCCCTGACAGCTGTGGGGAGTAATGCCGGCTCGCTCTATATCCAGTGTGTCTGCATCAGCTTTGTCACAGGGATGCAGGCAGGAGGGGTCGCCTGAACTGAATTTGAGTCCCCCTCATCTGTCTAAACAGTGGTGAGTGTTGGACAAGCCCAGTTCACGGCCTGTGGGTGACGCATAGCCACACCCAGCTGCCAGAGTTGCCAGGCGGAATCTGCTAAGTCGTGAGGGCCCAGAGCTCCACCCAGACCATGTCCAGCAGGGGCCCGGTGGACGGCTGTCCTTCCTGCCTGCCCAAGAGTCACTGTTTCCTAGGGCGGGTCAGGTGCCTACGGGGGACACCACCATGGACACGCCACGACTTTTCATAGCGTCCCCAACCTCAATGCTTGGTCACAGCCCCAGAAACCAGGCAAAGACCTCACACGCCAGGAGCCTTGCGTGGGCAGGGAGCTTTCTCCGTGGACGAGCCAGGCCTCACCTGGGCGGATGGGGGTGGAGGAGGTACCTCCAGCTGGCCTTACTGGGAGATTCGGTCCCTTTCCTGGGGGAAGACTCAGAGTTGCCAAGGAGCCCCCTCCTTGAACGGCTCCCACCCCAACTCCACAAGGGTCACAGCCATTGGTTGGGAAACTGGGTGCAGAATGGGGTGGGGCCTGGCTGGGGTGAGTGCAGCCCGGGATCCTCACGACCTTTCCTCACCAAGGGGCTTATCTTCCAAGTGCCCCCTCGCCGGGGGGTAGGTTGCCATTCTGTTTCTGGAAGTATTGGCGATCCATTTCCGTGCTTGTACGCGGCTCGGCGTCCTGAGTGCTTACACAATCTGACCAGAAAGGGTGAAGTTCACACAAGCAGGAGAACAACTGACCCCTTCTCGTCACAGGTCCCCGGACTCTTTGCTTTCACGTTCTTGATCCAGGCAGAGAAAACAAACAAACAAAAACAAGGCCTTCCACCAGTTGAGCAACTGAACTTATTATTTATTTAAACATCAAAATACATCAGATGGGCTTGGTCATCTGGCTCAGCTTAATACAAGTGGCCTAACGCTACAAACCGATACATAACACTAAGACAGTTCTTGGAGGTGCAGAACAGACTTGGTGGTGGCAGTGAGTCGGCCTGGAGGCATGCCCTTGGCCGCACCGCAGACAGCCCCTCAGAACCAGTACTCAGAAACGAAGATGTGGACGTTGACCACGTTCCGGTGGGAGACCACACCCCCGACCACGTAGTTCATCTCCAGCTTCAGGACGGCGTGAAACGGGCCCACGATGGGGCGCACTTGGCGCACGACACCTGGAGAGAGAGCGGAAGGAGTGCTGCAGGTGAACTTGGCCACACCCACGTGGGAAGCTGGGGAACGGCTTCCTGCGGGGAATCCTGCGGCTAGGAGGGGCCTGGGGCATCGCAGGGTCTCACGGGAGCCAGAGAGGCCACCCCGCCACATGGTCACTGCTTCCATCTCTGACGACCAATGATAGCTATTCACTCCTTCTGCAGACAGCATCTCTGAGACAGGGGCAAGGCTGTGAGTGTGGGGTCTGGGGCCAGTGCCAGCCTCTAGCCCCCAAGGAGTCTGGGACTCCTGTCCTTCTCTCACCTACCTGACAGGACCAGGAAGAGCCGGCAAAAAGGCCTGGCATGGAGCAGACGGTCTTCTCCCTCTCACCCACTGTGCCCAGTGTGGGCTGCGGGAGGAACGAAGCAGGTGCCCGTTCTTTCCTGGGATGCCTGTCCTGGAGCCCCCTCCCACCCATGGCAATCCCATGGGACACACCCTCTCCACTCTCACCCCAGGCTTTTTGCACATCACTCGGTTGCCCCAGAGAAGCTGCCAGGATTGAAAGCAGCAAAGTGCCCTGAGCTGGCCTGGGTCTGTGTGTTGCCTCACAGACTTGAGAGAGAAGGAATAGGAGCCTGGGGGCCAGAACTGCCTTCCTGGAGGAGGTGTGCTTCTCAAGCCAGCACAGAACTTCCAACTTGCCACTGACACACAAGGAGTGGCCTCTGCTGTGTCTAGCCACAGCATAATCACAGACCTAGGAAACACGCAGGGGATCCAGGCGTCAGGCCCTGGTGCCCGGCACACGGCAAAGGCTCAGCAACAATGGATGGGCAGGGAAGGCCTTCCTTTCCGCACCAGTGGCTGCAGCTTCCGGGTCAGGGAGGGTGTGGGCGTGACGCGCTTTCTGTGCTTTCAAAAAGCAAAATGCTCGCATGGGGGTGGAATTCCAGACCATGCGCTAAGCAAACAGGCTCCACGGGCTGTCAGCTTTCTTTCTCCACTCGCCTGCTCTCTGGCGGGGTCACGGCAGCTCTGTCTTATCCACCATGGCAGGACACAGGCTTGTCACCAGCCCAGGGCTGCCCAAGGGCCCTGGTGGCCGGAACAGGGGCCCCTGCACTGGCCCCTCCCTGGGCTGGGTCTGCTGACTAGGGTCGAGAGAGCTCACGGTGCCAAATCCAGTTGCACACCCATGGTCCCCTGGGGCCTCCCTCATGTCCTTTGCCCCCTCTGCGCCTGGGAGTGACAGTGGTGCCCACAGGTCACAGGGGCCCAGGCTGTCCGCTGGGTACAGGGCAAGGCTGCTGAGGTTGAAGGAGACAAGGCTGAGTGTGGCAGGGGGGAAGTGTTGGAGCGACAGACAGGCAGTGGCTGGTGGAGGTCACTTCCCCAGACAGGACAGACATGGCTCTGTGTCTACTGCTAGCGTTTCTTAGAGGTCCCAGCTTAGCCTATTATGCCAGAATGATGGTCCCTATGAAACTTACTTATAAAATATCTTATTTATAGATCATACATGACTATTCACTATAGAATCCATATACCTAGAAGCTGGTACTGCAGCACAACAGGTACAGCCACTGTTTGCAGTGCTGGCATGCCATTGGAGGGCCAGTTCTGGTCTCAGCTGTGCCACTTCCCACGGGAAAGCAGCAGAGGATGGCCCAACCATCCCTCTGTGTGGAGTGTGGACTTGGGCCTCTGCACCCATGTGGGAGGCCTGGAAGGGACTCCTGGCTTCTGATCGGCTCAGTTGCAACTGTTGTGGCCACATGAGGAGTGAACCAGTGGCAGAGGGTCTTTGTCTCTCCTTCTCTCTCTACATCTGTCTTTCCAAAAAAAGTAAATGATTCTTTAAAAAAAGGAAAAGAAAAGGAAAGGAAAGAAAAGAAAAGAAAAGGAAAGAAAAGAAGGAGGCAGTGGCTGTGTTGCCCTGACAGTCCCCAGCCCCGGCTCTGGCAGGTGTCACCAGCTGCTATCCGGTGTGATCCGAGTCTGCAGTCGTAAGCCTGGGGTCGTCACCGAGTCATGCAGTCACACAGATGCGTGCTGGCAGCATAGAAGGTACTTGTTCCCAATCGCCCTCTTCCTCGGCCCCTGGAGGGCCGCCCGCTCTGCCTTGTCTCGCCCCGACAGCAATGGGAGCACCCACTATCTCAGACACAAGGACTGGCCCAGCAGCCTCACGAAGGGGGAGCGGCCTGAGTGTCCCTCGAGGGGCAGGTGGGAATGAAGCCGGTTTCTAGCCAGGGTGGGCCCTGCCCCTCCTCCCTAAACTCATCCACTTGGTGATGTATGGCTGGACGACACATGGGGAACCAGCCCAACTTGGTGAGGTTCCTGGAGGCCCGGCAGAAGGGAGGAGGTCCCTGGTGGCCGCTGGCCTAGCTGCCTGAGTGAGCAGGTGCGCAGGGCCTGGTGGGTGACGCCCGAGTGGGTGCTGGCTTGCATGCAGCATTTGACACGCACTCTGGATCGCAGGAGCAGAATGGGGATCTTTGCACAGAAAGGGCCAGAGCAGGGTGGAGATGCCACAGCCGGGGGTGGGCCTCTGTTGGCCCCCTCTGGGTGTCACCAAGTCCCAGCTCCAGCTCAGTGCCCTAGCAGCTCCCTGCCCCTTTCCACGCTGCCCGCGGCCAGCAGCGTCTCATCTCGCTCATTGCCACGAGGCTACAGAGAACCAGCACATGTGCTACCTCTTCCAAGCAGCCCTCCATGACTGCGCCACCACAGCAGCCTCACACATTTGCCCTGCGGGGACCCACAGTTCCCATTCCCAGCCCCTCTCCCCCAAACACCTTCCCCTGCCTCATCTTAGCCTCGGGGAGGTTTGAACAGAAGGCCTGGCAAGGCTGAGCCTCATCATAAACAGATGAAAGAAGAGAGTTAAAAAGCAGTGGCGAGCAGGCAGGGCGGAGGGGGCCCGAGGCTCAGATCCCAGCTACTCCCTGGCAGCGCATGGAGCCTGGGGGGCGCCAGGGACGGGGGCGGGGGCGGGCATCCGTCCCGTCCGCAGGCCGGTAACATACGACCAGTGCCCCCTCCCCGCCTGCCATCAGTCATCGCTCAGGAGTTACTACCTGGAAGAGGCCTTGTCGGAGCAGCCCTGCAGCCAGTGGGGCTAAGAATGCACTCCGAGCTGCACACGGCAGGCTCCAGCAGCGGGGGGCCCCGGGCGCTCAGCGAGCGCGAGAGGAATGCGGAGGGATTTGCGGAGACAGCGGCCCAGCCCCTGCGCAGACTCTCGCTGATCCCCACTAAGAACCAGTCTTTAAAGCCACATTAGAGGGAGGCCTTCCCCTCCCTTTTCTCGACTCCCAGGGCTCAATCCCTGAGGCCGGCGGTGGGGGCCTTGCATCACCCCACTTGGCACGGGCGGCGCCAGCCTGGGGCAGCCCGGTGTCTAGGGGGAGCTGGCTCCAGGCCCGCCCTGCACTGGCCTCCCCCGGCCCTGCACCCTCCGCTGGGTGACCCATCACCAACCCCTGGCATGTCACAGACTCCCTAACTGTGGTTGCTTCGCAGCCTTGAGGTCCCAGCTCAGCCCTGCCCCTCTGAGGACACCTTCCTGATCCGGATGTCCATCCAGGGCACAGCCTGCCCTGGGCAGGTGCTCAGCACACAGGCCGAGCTTGCACACATCCCTTGCTGTCAGTGTCCTGCAGACACTGGTTCCCGTCCTCTGACAGGAAGGACTTGCACCTAGAACATCTCCTGCAGGAAGAACTACGTGGCTAAAAACCAGCCAGGAGCCATCCCTGGCTCTGCAGCCTTCGGTTGGTCACTTCCCGTCTCTCATCTGCCCCAGGAGGCATCACATCCCAGCACTGGCAGGTGCACTAGCGAGTGAGAGGATGGGCGGGGAGGGAAGTGGGAGGCACTGAGTGCCCTGGGCAGTGGGGCAACCTCCTGTTTTTAGGAAGTGAGCCCAGTACAGGGCAAACCCTTCCAGGTGTGCCAGGCCCAGAACCACGTGCCAGAGTGGCTGCCAGGATGGGGAGTCCAGGGAGTGAAACCCAGCAGAGTGAGGGGCAGCAGGCAGCGGCTGTGGGGCCAACGGCACCAGGACAAGCACGGTTCCCGTCTCACACCTGGGAGATGACGTGGGCACCATGTGCTCGTCAGGTGCCCCGGCAGCTGGGTCAGCCTGGCCAGGGGAAGGGCTAAGCCTGGCAGGAAGGCTGGGATCCAGGCAGGATGAATTCCTGACCACCCTCTCCGTGGATGCCAGCCCAGAGTTCCAAGGACCACAGAATCCTGTGGTCCTCGAGGTCCTAGTGCAGTTTCCATTGCCCGGGAAGTCGCTGTAGGGGACCACGTCCATGGGCCCTCTCATACCTGGGGTCTGCTCTGTGGTCCTCTGCACCCCAGGGCCCTGATGGGGGAGCCAGCACGCCCTCACCCTGCTGGGAGCTGAAGGTGCAGATGCAGCAGAGAGCTGAACTTGAGCCAGCCCTGCCTGTTCACGGTGGCTCCCGCCCTCCCCTTACTTGTCATGTCCTGATGGAACACAGTTCTTGGGGGCTGCCATCTCTCCCCCTGCAGGCCCATCCTGAAAAAAAGCAGGGCCCAGGAAGGGCTCAGACCTGAACGAGCAAATGAGTTAGGGTCCAAGATTCCAGACTCCAGGAGCTCCCAGTCCTGGAGTTACCCCATAGCCAGGGACCAGGGCAGGCCCATGGTGGGCTTGTGTGGAGCAGGGTCAGACGCTAACCTCATGCCTACCTATTGAGGCCGGACAACTCCTGGACCCCTGCCCCCTCGTCCCATCCGCCCTCGCCCACACAGGAGACCACAAAGGATCTCTTCATCGAAACTTGCGTTTTACAGTGGGCAAGACCAAGGCTGAGTACCGCAACAAGGGTAAGTGTGTCCTCCCCTTTGGGGTCCCCGCGAGGGTGAGTGCGCCATTAATTGTAATTAACTCATTATTCCTGTTGCCAGCTAGCGGAGGAGGAGGCCGGGGGCGTGGAGTCCCCCGTGACTCAGTGATGTTTACAACACGCACACCCATTTAAGAGCTTGTAAAGCTGCTATAAATGGCGCTTTGGCAACTGGCGCCTAACGATTCCCCAGCCGCAGCAGCCACTGAGCAACCAACCGTCAGCCCGGACGGCAGACTGGCTTCCAAGAGCCAACAGTGCCACCTGGAGGCCGCGCCGCCACCTAGATCTGGCCACTCCGGAGCCCAGGGCAGGACACCGTCCAGCAAATGACAGAGGGGCCGAGGCTCCTCAAGATCACTCTAGCACAAAGCCCACCCCGCCGGCGGTATCGGTCATACTGGTGCCCGGGGCTCTGGGGCCCAAAGTCGCCCCCCACCCCGGGAGCTGGCCAGGCTGGAGACCCGGGCTCTGGGCACAGAGGGGTTCCCCGGGAGCTGGCCAGGCTGGAGACCCGGGCTCTGGGCACAGAGGGGTTCCCCGGGAGCTGACGGGGACACTCACCCACAGTCATGCCGTCCATGTAGCGCTTGATGATGTCGAAGGAGTCCCGCAGGTTCCCCTCGGTGATGTCAAAGATTATATCTGCCTGGTTGGCAGGGTGGAGCGGTGTAATGGCCCGCAGGAAGACGATCTCTGAGGTAAGAGGGCACAGCGTTGGGGGAGGGCAGAGGGGCCATGGGGACCTAAAGGGTGCGGCCCTTCAGGAGGTGGCATCCCAGGAGCCACAGACCCACACGGCCTCGCTTGGTCGGGGCACACCAAGGCCCGGGGAAATTCCAAGAGCTGCTGCTGCCATTCCTTCCCCTGGCAGCCCACCAGAGCGGGCCAGGCTCCTGTGGGGGCAGCAGGAGGGGTCGTGCAGGTCAACGGTGGAGGCGCAGTGGGCACTGCAGCTGGTTTCAGGCTGTGGTGACTGACGCTGCAGCTGTGAATGGTGTGTGTGTTCACGTGCTGTCCTCACCTCCTTCATCTGAGGTTCTAGATTGTGGGGCTCATCTGCAGCTAAGGAGGGAGGGGGCTGCAGGGTTCAACACGTGGCCAGTGCTGGGAAGGGATTTGTGATCAGCCAGGAGTGTCCCGGTGCTTGTAGGAAGAGCCTGGGCAGAAGGGGCACAGGGGAAGGGGCTGGCTCCTGGGGTGGGCTGGGCTGGTGTGGGGGTGGGGGAGGGCGGGTCCCTGGTCCAGATCACCTCAGGTGGGCAGCAGAGCCAGCTCACTGGGGAGCTCTGGCAGCTGGCCGTGCCCACTCAGCTCCTAGAGCTGGGCCCACGATGCTCCTTGCAGGGGACCGAGCCACAGAGCAGTCGTGGGCATGTGGGAGGAGTGGTGTGTGCCTTGACAAAAGCCCATCCTGTACCCAAAGCAGACACCTGCGAGAGACTCCTCCCACAGGAGTGAGCATCCAGCCTCAGGGAGCTCAGCAGCGGGGGGAGGGAGAGGACCAGGGGCTCCCCTCCTGCCCTTCCTGCTGCCACCACCCTGTGCCCAAGCAGGTAGCCCGGCCAGCATCTGCTGAGCCTTCGAAGGCTCCTCCGAAGGCGGGCTGATGAGACTTCACCAGAGGGTGGTTGGGGAACCCTGCCACCTGGGCATCTGGGCTGTGCTCCCTGGACAGAGTCCGCACCCTGGCTGTGACGGCCCCGTCTACATGGCATGCCAGGCAGCTGAACTGGGGTGGGAAGCGCCTCCCATGTTGCTCATGGCCAACCCAGATCAAGCTGTCCCTCCTTGGTCCTTCTTGTGCTCCCTCCGGACCCCTTGGCCCAGCCTGGCCAGCCCCTCACTCGGGCTCCAGTGAGGCCGTCACTTCCTCATGGGCCTCCCTGCCCCCAGACTCCCCAACGCATGGCACAGACTGAATGTCCGAGGCTGCTGGCATGACAGCCATGCCCTGGGTGAGCCCCAGGCTGAAGGCCAGTGGGGGTGTCTGGCTCCGGCACATTCGGCGGCAGCAGGCAGGACGCCCCACCATCTGCACTCACCTTCAGGTTGGGTGAACTCACGGAAGGTGGGCAGCGAGATGACAGTGTGGGATATGGTGTGCACCGGGTCCAGCACACAGGCCACGTGGTTGGGGCGGCAGGATTTGATGCATCGCACGGTGTCCGTCTTCTCCTGGCGGGGCCTGCGGGCAGCCACAGCACATGGCACCGATGGGCACTAAGCAGCAGCAGATGACCAGCCCTGCCCCCGGGGGTAGGGGACCCGTCTGTGGCTTCCTGTGTGTGCCGGGTGCCGGGATGCCCCGTTGGCATTCACAGGCAGGCTCAAGTGCCAGCACAAAGCCAGAGCCACATCCCCGTGCCACAGTGGGGCAACAAGAAGCTAAAGTTTAGCACAGGTGTGTGCTGTGGGTACCACACTGCATGGGGTTTTAGATCGTCTGCATTGTAAAACATAGGAGAAAGCTACCCAGCTTCACACTCCTAGCTATAGCTGCCCACATCCCAGCAGGGCACAACATGGAAGACTGCAGAATAAACAGCTCACACCTTGTGTGACTTCCCAACCTTGTGAACTGTGCACCAACCCGTCTGGGCTGCCCTGTGTCCAGGGTATCCACGCTATGGACACGGTCAGTCCACTCATGACCATGTCACAGCTTCAGCCATCCGACTGCCACAGACGGAATTGCAGGCCCAGCGTGCAAGGTGTGTGTCACTATGACACTCCTGATGTATTTGTCAGGGGGACCTGCTTTTGTAATCACCACCCAGAACCCCGGAAGAGAACTCTGCCAGCGGCTCACAGCTGCCCCACACGCACCAGAAGGTGGTCACTCCCTTCTGCATCCCCTGAGTGACCCCACGCCCCAGACCCTCAGCAATCCACAGCCCGGGGCTCTTCAGATGTACCTCGACCAGTCACTGGGACTTGCCCAAGGAGAAGCTGTTTGGGGGCCAGCATGGTGACTCAGCGAGTTAAACCTCTGCGAACGACACCTGCATTCCAGGTGAATGCTGGTTCGAGTCCTGGCTGCTCCTTTCCCATCCAGCTCCCTGCTGACGTGCCTGGGAAAGCAGCAGAGGATGGGCCAAGTGCTTGGGCACCTGCACCCACATGGGAGACAGGGAAGAAGCCCCTGGCTCTTGGATCTGGCCTGAATGGTTGCAGCCATTCATGTTCCATGGCACAAGTCTCCCAGCAGGTGCCTGGGCTGTGTGCTTGGCTCCACCCTGGCTGCTGCGGCTGCTGCCCAGCCCTTACCCATGGACGGCAAGGTACTAGCAGAATGACTATAACGCTCACTTCCAGTTCTGAGCCGGCAGAATTCCATCAAAAACCGCTTCTCTCCCGGCACTGTTGCCGCCTGATTCCTGGGAAATTGGCTCCCACGAGAGACACAAGATCGACACGTGCCCATTCCGTGGCATCTGCCAGGGTTTAGAATGAACCAGCTCTGTCTCTCCACAGGAATTCTTAATTATTTATCTGAGAGGGAGAGAGAGAGTGCTCCTACCTCCTGATCACCCCCCACATGGCCACAGCAGCTCCGGCTGGGCCAGGCTAACGCTGAGAGCCTGAGAGGCAGCGACCCCAGCACTCGAGTCGCCACCCACCACTCTGCATCCTTGCGCTACGAAAGTTGAAATGTTTCAGGAAGTTATGGCAAGCTTCCCTGGGCCAGCATTTATAGACTTTTCTCCAGGCTTTGCGTTTCAAGATTCGTCTTCTCTGGATGTGGGATCGTCCTGCATATCTGAAATACTTGTCATTTTTGCTGCAAGTCCTACACTGTCTTTTTTCTCCCCCACAAAGCCCAGGTACTGACATTGTACCCAGGTCTCCCCTGTGGGCGGCAGGAACTGAAGCACATGAACTGCCTTCTGTGGCCCTTCCTAAGTCGCTAGAAGGATGCTGAGAGCAGGGGTGGACGCAGTGCCATCGTGGGCAAAGCTGCTGCCTGCTGTGCCCACGTCCTACATGGGTGCAGGCTCCGGCCCCATGTGCCCCATTTCCAATCCTGCTCCCTGCTGAGGTACCTGAGAAGGCAGTGCAGGATGGCCCAGTGCCTGGACCTCGGCTCCTCTCTTTGGACCAGCTCCATTCCGGCCATTGTGGCCATTTGGAGCATGAATGAATAGATGAAAGATCTCATTCTGTGTAACTCTGCCTTTCAAAATAATAATAATAATGATAATGATAATGATAAGCAGCAGCAGCAGCAGCAGCAGCAGCAGCAGCAGCAGCCAGGGCTGAAACTGACACTTGCCCCGGTATTCAGGAAGCCAGCGTCCCAAGCAGTGGCCGACGCTGCGCAGGGCATCCTGGGTACCCGTGTGCTCTTGGGTGGGTCTGAGCCGGCTGTATGCAGGTGTGCCTGCCGCCTTGCCGTGTCATAGCTGTTTCCCACAGGCCTTTTCTTCCCCTTTCTGTTGCTCTGTGTGTTTTCCAGTTGGGGTCCAGCGAGCTTGGAGAACTCGATGGTAGCCACCCCAGGGCCCTGGCTCTGCCGACTGCTCTCCCAGCTTCCTGCCCATCACAGCACCTCCCCCCATGTCATCCCCTCCTTCAGCCATGACGCCTGCTGTCCCTAGAAAGGCCAGCCTCCAGGGTTCTGTGAGAAGGTCTAGAACCTAATCCCAGGAACAGCTAATGCAGCAGAGGGCAGGGGTGCAGGCAGACCCCGGACCAGGCTGCCTGGGTTTGAACGCTGGCCCCACCAGGTGCTGCTTGTGGGACTTCAACTGAGTGACCCAACCTCTCTGTGCTACCATGATCTCCTTGTGGTCCAGGGCTGTTCCCAGTACTTGCCTGCCTCCCAGTAAGCGCCCCAAAAGGAAACACGCATGTGTGTTATCTTCAAAAAGCTCATAAAAAAAAAAAAACTTATGGGGAAAAAAAACTACTTGTGGATTCTCATTGTTTTGCACCAAAATAAACCTAGCAGCACATGCACTTGGTGCGCACAGGGCAGCTCGGGTTCAAGTCCCAGTGCCACTGGACACCGGCTTCCTGATAATTCACTTCCTAGGAGCCGACAGAAGGTGACAGACAGCTCAAGTCATTGGGTCCCTAGCACCCACATGGACACCCAGATGGAGTCTGGGACTCCTGGGTTTGGTTTGGCTCAGTTTCATCTCTTGCAGTGACACGAAAGGCAGACAGCTGGGATCAGAAGTGAGGGTGGCTCCATGCATCAGAGACCCTTGGCTAAAGTACGTGTGTCATTTAAGCCAAGGGATACCCAGCTACCTTCCCACAACCAAAGCCCCCCAGGCTCACACTCACAGCCGCCTCCCTCTCCCCCACTGCCAGGTGCCAGGCACTCCTTGAAGTCATCTGGGTGACGGGTCGAGAGGCTCTGAGGGGTGCACCAGTCAGGTGCGCCAAGGGCCCCAAGAGTCGCGGGCACCTGCCTGTCTGGTTCCTCTGCACAGCAGCTCCCCGTGGCGTAGTCTGACATGGCACTGACCGCCCAGAGAGGCGGACACTCAGGCTGCTCAGGCGAGACACTCAGAGAGGCTGCTCAGGCGCTACCCTCCCCACACTCAGCACAGCCCCCAGCCGGGCCAGGAGTGCCACAGACAAGGCGGCTGCTGTTCCCGCTGGACGGCCTCCAGGGCCTGGCTCAGCTCTCCCAGTGCACAAAGGCCAGACTGCTCCCCGTATGACTTGGGCAATGACAAACAGTAACGAAATAGGACAGAATCCTTGCTGTACTCTGCTGCTCTCAGAGGAGATGTTTAAAGTGAGCCTTGAGAACACTGCCCTTCCTTCCACCCAGGCACACAACGATCCTTCCCATCATCACCCACTCCCCATCTATCTATCATCCATTCACCCTTCCATCCACCTACTCAGCCTTCATCTAGTCCTGCTCTCCCTCCATCCTCCATCCACCCACCCACCCATCTATCCATCTACCCACCCACCCATCCATCCTTCCACCCACCCATCCATCTATCCTTCCATCCATCCACCCATCCACATACCTACCCACCCATCCACCCACTGTCCACCCATTTATCCATTTATCCACCCATCCATCCACCATCTGTGGCAACCACATGAAGCATCTTGCCTGCGGATTGCAGGCCAGAGCCGTTGGCATCTCTGTCCAATGCCTGGCTCTGACTTCTCTGGCCTGGCCACCCACCACGTGCCGCGCCCCGCCCACCAAGGCTGTGCCCCGCCCACCACAGGCGGTGCCCCGCCCACCACAGGCTACGCCCTGCCCACCACAGGCTGCGCCCTGCCCACTACAGGCTGTGCCCCGCCCACCACATGCCGCGCCCCGCCCACTACAGGCTGTGCCCCGCCCACCACAGGCTGTGCCCCGCCCACCAAGGCTGCGCCCCGCCCCTTCTCTGGGTCCCAGCTTCCACCTTTGTAAAAAGAGGGTGACTGAGCTCAGTGCAGTCTCAGGGGCCTCCTGGGCCAACACCTCTGTCCTTCGACGAAGACAGCACGTGTAGGCAATGCCCAGCCCTCACCTGCCTCACCAGCTGCTCACCCAGGAGCCCTGGGACACACACCCCCTGCCCCGGGTCCCCAGCTCGTCCCGATCACAGCCACACCAAAGAAAACCAGGGCACGCAGGGCGGGTGGGGTGGCTGCGGAGACTTTATTCACATTCCCAAGGAGCGTTAGAAAAGCAACCAGAGGGAGCCCCACCCACCCGCCCCCGCCCCCGGCTGAAGCAAGCGCTCAGAGCTCTGCTGATACAAAGATGAAAAGCTTGGCCACAAAGGAGCTGACGGCGCCGTGGCGATAGAGATCCATCTTGACCGTGAGGAGCAAGTCCCGGGGCTCGGGCACCGGCTTGGTGAGGGCCACCACCCCGCTGTGGTGGCTCACCTTGCGGGTGGTGAAAAAGCCCTCCTCGTTGCCGCCGGTGATGGCCAGCTGCATGCTGTCCCCGGGCACGGCGCTGGAGGGGCCCATGCGGAAAACCACCGCGGGCACTTGGATGTTGGTGGGGAAAGAGAGGTGGTAGTAGGTTATGCGCAGAGGCAGCTGGACGCACTCCTGGTTCTCATGGCAAGGCAAGCGCTCGCAGCGGCTGCAAGAAAAGTGGACAGAGAGACAAGGACAGGGTTAGCGGATGCAGAAGCGGGGCCGCCACAGCACGGGGCCTGCTCGGCCAGCGTCAAGAGCGCCCTGACTCACCTAGGGGAGGTGCCTGGGACCTCCAGGCGCAGCACCCTCAGAGGCGCTGGGGGCTGGCTGGGGGAGGGAGGGACGAGGGGAGGGTGTGCCCTATCTCACAGCAGCGTCCACCCCAGACACACTGAGCAGGCACGCCTGGCCCTCGGCGTGTGCTCCAGGGACCCTTTGCCCAGATGGCGCCAGGGGTGCATGGGGCTCCTGGGAGGTCCCTGGAAGCGACCCCTGGAGTTATAGGCTGCTGTCGCTTCTGTTCCCTGCCACACACCATCCACTGGGGTCACAACAGCCCTCTTTGGACGGGAGCTACAGTGGCATTTTGCAGCTGGGGAGCCCAAGGTGTGGACACGGGGCTGTGCGGGAGCCAGGTTCCAGCCAGACCCTAGTCCCCACCCCTCGGTCCCGGCTCCAGACCCATGTCCCTCTTGGCAGCCACAAGGGCAGGCTCAGGGCTCAGAATAGATAGGGCGACAGACTCCAACTTCCTGGGACCAGCAGAGGAAATAGTCTGCCTTCCTAAGATGGGGGTAGAGATGCAATTTCAGGTCCTGTGACAGAACAGGGGCACATTCCACTGCCCTCGAGGGAGGGAGGGACAGGTGCTAAATGGGGACAAGGACGAATGTCCTGTGACAGCTCCAGGTTCTAACTGCCCGTGGCAGGACAGGGCAAAGTTCCAACTTCCTATGACAAGATGGAGACAGACTGGGATTGGTGTGATAGCTCAATTGGCTAATCCTCTCCCCCACAAGCGCCGGGATACCATGTGGTTATCGGTTCCTGTCCCAGCTGCTCCACTTCCCATCCAGCTCCCTGCTTGTGACCCGAGGAGTCAGTAGAAGACGGCCCAAAGGATTTGAACCCTGCACCTGTGTGGGAAACCCAAAAGAAGCTCCTGGCTCCTGACTTTGGATCAGCTCAGTTTTGGCAATTGCGGCCTTTTGAGGAGTGGACCAGCAGATGGAAAATCTTGCTCTCTGTAAATGTGCCTTTCCAGTAAAAATGGATCTTTTAAAAGAAGAAGATGGAGACGGGCTCTAACTGCTGGTGACAGGGTGGCGCCAGGGACCATCTCTCGCCCCCTTGACCCCCAGCCCGTCCCCTCAGAAGCACAGCTCTGGAGAGCTTGGCACATCACAGTCCACTCTGCCACCTTGCCTGAGCTCGGATTTCCTAATCTGAGACGCCCCAGGCCCCGCTCTCCTGTTGCGTTCCCCTTTCAGCAATTACACATCCTTATCCCATGTCACAGAGTCTGCCTCACCTCTGGCACCTGCCGGCAGTGGGGTCACCCATTTACAGGGTGCTGGTCAGGACTGAGAGAACAGGAGCCCTCCACGCTGCCAACTGTCCACCCCTCCGAGGGCTTACAAAGTGCAGCCTGGACAATGAACCCCTGGCATGAGAGGGGTGGGAGGAGCCGAGAAGGGAGTCAGGCCAGAAAGGAGGTGTGGGACAGGCCACGAGAGAGAGACAGCCCTGACCCCTGAGAGATTGGCACTGAGGAGGGCCACGGGGAGGCAGGGTCACTAGTGGGGCGGCCTGGGTGTGCGCGGGGGCTTTCCTCTCGCTCGCTCTCCACGGGAAGACACAGGCCCCAGGCTGACCCACCCCATGGCCTGGGTGTAGAGTCTGCTGTCTCACTTCCAAGCCCTTCCACACACAAACGTACATGAGCAGACACACAGAGAAATGCATGCAGGCATGCTCGCCTCAGCAGCTACAGAAATGGCCTGGCCAGCAGGGGGCGCTGGGGTCTCTCTCATGCAGAAAATGTGCTGGCGTGGCTCCCGCCACCATTGCACATGGACAGCCGGACGATTCCTGCTCCCTGGTGACTTCACCCCCACACCCCAGTCACCCACCAGGGGTCCCAGGACCCTTCTTAATGCAAGGTGTTTCTGGGCTGTGCTAGCCAGTGCCTTTGCGACTCAGGGCCTTCTCTTAACACCGAACACGTGCTCACTAAAGGATCACTGACCCTGGACCTCAGAGACCCGACTGCCCTGCTGTACACGCACCCAATGGCCAGGAAATCCTAACTGCCCATCACATGGGACCAGCCGGCCAGTGTGGCTGGACCTGAGCTTGGCTGCTGCTATCAACCCTAGCACAGAGCCCTCACCCTGCCAGGCGCCAGCACCACAGACGCGTCCCCCACAGAATGCCGCACGTCCTAGGCCAAGCCACAGGTGGGACAACAGTGCAGCCCAATGCTGAGTTCATGCGTGACCGTGATACCCACGTCCTGACATCACACCAGAGACGCACGGTGCCAGGGCGCAGCTGTCCTGCTTGGCACGCCTGGTGTTTTGCACATGCTCAGCCTTCGGAAGACAAGCCCAGGAACCTGCCACGGCCAGGCAGCCTTGGAGGAGGGTCCTGCGCCTCGGACCCCACCCCGGCTTCACCCAAGGACACCCAGCCACGCTCTGGGTTGAGACGGCGCATCATCAGAGGTCAGTCCCATTGGAGGGAGCAGAGGACATTCCAAGTCCTGCCAAAGGCCTGCTGTGGGGAGGGGCCGGGGGGCACGGTGGCCATGCTCCGGTTACCCCCTCAGCCACCCGAGACCATACCCGGAAGGAAGCCAGGTGGGGAGAGGGCGAAGGCAGAGACCCCGAGAGAGAGTGGACCAGCCATCCAAGGAAGGCGCAGAAGGGACGGTTGGCCCTCAGCGGGGTGCAAGTCGCCTCCCAAGGTCAGACAGCGAGTCTTTTGGGGGTTCCCGGTCGTCAGCAGGCTGAGAAGGTGAACCCTCCTGGCCTGCGTCCCACCCACACCAATTCTTGACTCGGCACAAAACGGATCCGCTCGCGAGTGACTTGTCACCACAGCTCTCTCTGGTTCCAGAGCAACCTCCAATTCCCCCACTTGACTGGGATGGAGCAGTCAGACCCGGCCCCCTACTTCCACAGTGGGCTCTGGCTGGTCTAGACGCCCCAACACAAGCCAATCTCGTGCATGGACAGTGACGGCCCAGAACCTCGCTCCTGCTCCGAGCCCAGTCCTCCCCCGAGAGGTAGGCAACACGGGCTGCAGCTCGGGGCTTCTCCCTCTGCATGTCCCGGGGCAGACACACAGGCTGGCCGAGGACTGCTCCCACTGCTGGCCCGGGCTGGGATCCCCAACACGGTAAGGACACAAGCAGACCATCCGAGGCCACCGGCGCCCAGAAGGGCCCAGGACAGGCTCACACATCCAAGTTCAGTGCTCATCCTCCTGTTTCTCCACTGCCTCGCTCAGATCCCCCAAAGCTCACCTTCCCTCCAGCTGAACAATACTGGCACGGATGTTTGTGCCCCACCAGGTCTGAACCCTGGCTTTATGGAAAACGAGGCCATGCCTGCCTACAACATTGGAAGCCTCAAGTATCCACAGAGAACAGGGAAACCCTTGAGATGCACAGGCCCTACCCAAGGCTGGGAGTGCACAGCTGCCCTACAAGCAATGCCCTTCTCCAGCACTGGCAGGGGGTCCCCAGCAGGTGCCAACCGGAGGGAGGGGGCAGGGCTTGCCTGATATGAGCCACCCTAGAAACCCAAGACCAACGGCCCCTCCCACCCAGCTCAGGCTTAGGAAGCATCAAGCCCTTTGCAGACACACCGGTTAGAAGTCTGGCCCACAGGCCCCTGGGACCCTCACGCCCAAAGGCCTGGCAGCGAGGGACTCGGAGTGATACATGCCTGCACTGCCCCAAATGAGGGCACAGAGAGAAGCAGGTGCTTCTGCCATGGATGAGCTGGTCCTCTGCTTCCCCCAGCCCTGCACCAGGGCCCCTGCTGTCACAACCCGGGACCCAGCCAGGCCCCCAGGCAGGCCAGCACCCGCAGACGACAGAGATGACGGCGCAGTGCAAGAGGCGCGGGCGAGGACTCACGTGTCTGCGGAGCGCCGGTAGTTCTCAGGGCACTCGAAGGCCAGGCAGCGGAAGCCGCCCTGGATGTTGAAGCAAGTCTCGTTGACGGAGCAGTTATGGATGCCGGTCACACACTCGTCAATGTCTGTGAGAGGACAGAGGGCTGAGGTCAAGGCTGCACAGGCCCAGCACCTCGCCAGCCCCCACGGCCCGGCTCTGCGAGGCCACCGCCAGCCCCTCTGCTTACGGGATACCTACGCTTTAAACATTTTATTTGGCAGAGCAAGGGAGAGACAGCAAGCTCTCCCATCTGCTTGTTCATTCCAAGTGCCTGAGACAGCCCAGGCTGGGCCAGGCACGAGAAGCAGGAGCCAAGAGCTCCATCTGGGTCTCCCACCCCAAAGCAGCAGGCACCCAACGCCCTGAGAGTCATGGCTGCTGGCTCCCCGGGTGTGTTAGCAGGAGGCCAGACTGGAAGCAGACAACCAGCTCTGCAGCCACATGCTGTGCTACAGAGTGCAAGCGTCCCACACGGCCCCTTGGCCCCGCGTCCCACACGGCCCTTGGCCCTGGGCTGGCATCCCACATGGCCCTTGGCCCTGGACCAGCGTCCCACACGGCCCCTTGGCCCCGCATCTCACACGGCCCTTGGCCCTGGGCTGGCGTCCCGCATGGCCCTTGACCCCTCTGCCCCCTGGGCCTGTTCCCAGTTCCACTCCGTTCTACAGGACCCCTGGGCTGAGCAGGGCCAGGGTGAGGCCAGCATGCCAGGATGGGCCCCAGGAGCAGTTAGGTGGGATAGCCCTGAGTGCCCCCCTCCACTAAAGGGGGCCAAGGGTGCTCCGGGGTCACAGGCTGGGCAAGTGGCAAAGCTGAGCTTTGAGCCCAGCGTCAGGCTCCACTCAACACTGCCCTGCAGCTCTGGGCCCTGCTTACCCCATGGGACCCCTGACATGCTGGGAGCAGGCAGGCAGAGGCTCCTAACCCACCCCTGCATGTTACAGACAAGGAGGCCAGTCTTAACGGGACACCACACCTCACCCTGAGACCAGAGGCTGTCCAAGCCCTAGCAGAACCAGGCTGGGGACTCCTGCCGAGGGGCCCAGGGAAGCCCCAGGCCACAGGGACGAAAGTCACCTGCTATGGCAGACATGGGACATTGAGGCACTTCCAACAAGGGCCTGCAGAGGGGCTGGACGGACCCCTCCCACCAGGGCCTGCAGAGGGGCTGGGCGGACCCCTCCCAGGGAAGGGAGCAGCTCCTGAGGAAGGGGCTGCACAGAGCTGGGGCAGTTCCAGGCGGGAGCCAGCATGTTCACCCCGACATCATCATCCACTCAAACCCACCAAGCACGCCTCACTGGCACAGGGACCCCAAGGGTCTTGGAAATGCAGGCAGAGGCCATCTGGGGTGTGACAGCCCCTCCCCACAGCATCCAACCCATGCTGGGGCAGCTCCAGCCCCAGTGGACTCTCAGTCACACTGACCCCACATGGAGGCCCATGGGACACAGGAAAGCTCTCGATGGGATAGTGACCGGCACCCAGGGACAGAGGCCTCGGCCACATGCTCACTGCCCCCAGAGAAGGCTGGACGGCTGAACCAGCAAGCATTAGGCTAAAGGACACAGTCATTCTGATACTGTGCCCCCGGGTACCTTCCTAGAAGCTGGCATCCCTATTCCAGTCTCTGAGTTAGGGCTACTGAGGGCAAACAGGAGGGCCTGAACGACCCTCAAGGATGGGTGGACATGCCTTGGATGGCGTGGACACACCCTAACCCAAGCAAATCCCACATGTGATATGTGGGGCATGTGACGGCCGGGTCGGGCAGCCCCAGCGCCTAGCCCACCTGGCCACAGCCCATATTGCGAGGCCAGGGTGCTCACGTACCTTGGCAGTTGCGGCCGTTGGGGGCCAGCCTGTAGCCGGTGGAGGGGCAGCTGCACTGGAAGCTTCCAGGGGTGTTGATGCAGCGGTAAGAGCAGATGTGGCCCCCGGTGGGCAGGGCGCATTCATCAATGTCTGCGAGGACAAAGCCACCTCAGCCTCCGCAGCAGCCAGCAGGGACACGGGGGCCCAGAGCTGACCCCCGGCAAAGAATGACGGGGAGGTGACGTAAAATACCTAGGCGGCAACGTCAGCAGCCGCACCCACACAGGGAGAGCCTGGCGTCAGGGTGCGGAGAGCCCTGGAGCTCTCCTCGCTTCCCAATCCCATGCCAGTCTAGAGGCTCCAACTGCCAGTCCACTCAATGGCCATCGCACTCACAGGTGCAGGAGAGAATCGCAGGGGTTCAAGGCCTACTCCCCAACAACCTCACTTTCTATCATGGTTGAAGCGGATAAGCAAACCTTGGCTGCCGGGCAAGCCCGCACGGCCGCCAGCCTCACTTAGGGCAGATGGCAGGCTGGCCGGGTGGACCCCGCAGCGTACAGCCCGCCCACCTGCCAGGGGATGGCAAGGCAGGCAGCCCCACCTTCACAGGTGACGCCGTCCACGTCGCTGAGCTGGTAGCCCCGGCGGCAGTAGCACTGGTAGGAGCCGTAGACGTTGGCACACTCCTGGCTGCAGGGGCTGCTGCTGCATTCATTTACATCTGAGAGGGGAAGGAAGGGAGGCAGAGCCACGTCACACAGTGCCGCTCACATGGGGTGCTGGCAGAGGCAGCCACCCTCCACCTCCACCTCCCTCAAGCTCATCCACACAGGTGGGACCCCAACTCCACCCACCCCTTGTGGCTGATGGACCCGGGGTCTCTGTTCCTGCCCCTATGAGCTTCAGGCTGCCATCCCTGTGTTGGGTACCAGTCAGTCCTATCCCATCTTCCCCTGCGGGTGACAGGTGGCACAGGGACCCGGCACGGGGGAGGACGCTCTGGGTGCTCCAGTACTGGGAGCTCACAAGAACCTACAGCAGCTCGGAGCTGTGGTTCAGCTGTGCCCTTGTCTGCAGCAGAAGCCAGCAACCTACAGCTGCCCGCTGGACCTGGCTCGCCATTGGAGCAAGGCCGTGCTTACTCTCATCCCCAGGTGCCTGGTTGCTTTAGCGCTGTGGCAGCAGAATGGAGGAGGTGCGACAGAGGGGGCCACCCAGTGGCTCAGCAGCGCTCAGAGGGAGTCGGCCAAGCCCTGGCCTGGTGTGCCTTCCCACATTACGTATCTACTGCTGGTTCTTAGCAGGCAACCGCAGGCATCCACTAGCCTCTTGCCCTGTGCATCACCTGCTTGCCATCGCCCAGTACAGCGTCTCCCCATGTCCCAGACCTACCTCCTGACACATGGACTGAGATCTTGTCCCACAAGCCAGGCAGGTGCCTGGTAAGGTGGCAAAGCTAGCCAGGCCCTGGTTCTGTGTCCACAACGCTGCCCACTAACAAGTGTTTTAGTAATTTATTCCCATTTCATTTGACAGACATACAGAGAGATCTTCCATCTGTTGGTTCAGCCCCTCAAATGCTCACAGCAGCTGGGACTGAGCCAGGCTGACGCCAGGAGCCCAGAACTCCAGGAGCCCAGGCTCTGGGCCATGGTCTTCCTCCTCTGAGGCCGCAGCTCCACAGGAAGTTACAATCAGGGCTGAGAACGAACCAAGGGACTCCAATATGGGGCGCCTGTCTGCCCTGGAACAAACTGGCCACAGCAACCCTGTCACCAACCACGCTCCCTGTGACCTGTCTATCCATCACTCCCTCCATGGACTTTGGACAGACGGAGAGCAGAGTCCCCAGAGCCACGGATGATGGGGTCAGACAGCTTCAAGTCACAGGCTCCCAGCCGTCTTCCCAAGCCCCTCACTCCCAGGGTGAGCAGCTGTGCTCCTACAAAACCCCCCACCTGCTGAGACCGTGGCGGACAGGGCCCCTCACCTTCGCACGAGCGGCCATCCACAGAGAGCCGGAAGCCCGCAGAGCAGCTGCAGAGGTAGGAGCCCGGCGTGTTCTCACACTTGTGACCACACAGGCGCCCAGGGTAGCGCTGGCACTCATTGATATCTGCAGGGGGAACAGGCAGCTCAGGGACAGGTGACCCCTGGTGACGCCACATCCGCCCGCCTCCCTGCCTCCTGCAGCCTCAGCCTGAGTCATTGCCGGCATGCCTGTCCACCGTTCCAGCGTCTGGGGAGTGTTACGAGAAGGGTCCACCGAGATGTGGCAAACGGGCAGTGTGGGGTGGGGAAGCAGGTGCTGCCTGCCCAAGCATCCTCTGAACATCAGCATCCAAGCCCATTCCCAGCCAGCCTGGGTCACAACATGTCCTGACCCTTTGTCTCCACAGGCCACTGCGAATCCTGGGGAAATGGCTCCCACTTCTGGTGTTTGCAGACCTGGTCCAGGTCTCATGAACGTGGGAGGCCCTGGGACATGCACAACTGCTCCACCAGGGGCTGTGGGGCTTGGCAGCTAGGGCAGGGGTCTCTAATTTGGGTCTTCTCTCTGGGAGCCCACACCAGGGACTCAGACAAGCATCAGACCAGGTCACTCCGGTGGCTTGGAGCCACTCAGCTGGATCCCAGAGGACCACCACCACACACCCACACAGCCGGATCCCGGGGACCACCATCACATACCCACGCGGCCGGATCCCGGGGACCACCACCACACACCCACACAGCTGGATCCCGGGGACCACCACCACATACCCACACACGTCCTGCTGATGCCGTCAAAGTAGTAGCCGGGCTTGCACTCGCAGCGGAAGCTGCCGGGGGAGTTGATGCAGCGGTGCCCCTGGCCGCAGGGCTCCGAGGGTGGTGAGCACTCGTCCACATCTTGCCGAGGGAGAGAGGTTGAAGAGCATCAGGGTAGGGCTGGCAAAGCAGCCCCCCTCCTCCTGCTGCTCAGAGCACCTGCTAAGGGCTAGGTCCACCCAGGGACACCACCCAGCTGTAGCCCCACCCTCAGGGACACCTGCTGTGGCCAGGGCAGCTCCTTTTTCAGGCAGCTTAAGGTGATGCCGACAGCCATGGAGATGGGCTCATGGGATCATGGTGGGGTGGAGCATAGGAGGAAGCAGCTGATGGGGTGGGTTGCTGCTGCACTGGTCCAGCCAGGCAGGGAAGGCCTGTGGCCGGGTACTGGCAATGGGCTGGAGGGACACGAGGGGACAGCTTCACTGTGGGACCAGATCTCCTCCTCCGGAGGGCTGCATGTATGCATATGAAAGTGCGTGTGTTCATGTGTGCATACATGTATGTGATCATCCACATGTTTGCCGTGTGTGCACACACGCTTACACTCTGCATCTGCGTGTGCACACATCACAAATGTGTCTTCATGCATGTATGTGCCTGTACTAAGAGCAGAAGAGTCGCTCTCAGATTGTTCTCTGGCGGAATACCAACCGATACATCGCGTGCCCTCCTCGTTGAGGTGGTAGCCGCGGCCACAGTTGGGCACGTTCTTCTGGCACGTGTAGGAACCCTCGGTGTTGATGCACGTCTGCCCCACGGGGCACGGGGCGCTGATACTTAAGCACTCATTGATATCTACAGCGGGAAGACAGAGACAGCACTGTGAGGCTGTGGGGAAAACCTCCCGGCCCGCTCCTCCCGGGCCAGGCGGACACTGCGGCCCTCCCACAGGCCAGCGCAGCCTGGAGAGCGGCTGCCGCACCCAGCACACTCTGCCTGTACGTCACCTGCCTCTTCTTGCTCCGTCAACCCCCCCGCCTCCATCCCTCACACACCAAATCCACACGTGTTGCCCGCTCATGCGTGTCCTCCACCCAGGCCTGTCTCCCGGCCAGGGCGCTAAGGGTGTCCCCTCGGTGCAGCCCCTGGCTGGCTACTCAAGGACACGCCTCTGAAGCCACTCATCCCCCTCGCCCATCTGAGCACTACCTCCTTGGCGATGCCCTTCAGCCGTCACCCCAAAAAGGGTGAGGTCACCGCACAGTGGTCTCCTGTCTCGCCTGGACACTGTCCTGCGTGGGGTCCACAGGACACTGTGACCGAGGGATGAGCCTGCTGCTGCATCTCACATACACACCAGCCTCGAATCACAGAAGGGATGCCACTGGTAGCTGTTTCCTGAAAAGGCCCCAGGCCACCCACCTGCCCACTGCCCATGGCCCATCATTGTAAATAAAGCTTTATTAGCACAAGGCAGGCCCACTGTGCCATGTGCAGCCTGGGGCCCAGACAGTCCCAGGTGCTGGGGTCCTGTGCTGCCTCCACAGGGCACAGCCTCCGCTGGCCCTGGACCCCTGATCTTCTCCACACACAGCACACACGAGGGAGCCTTTCTCTGACCAATGCCACCTCCCTCCTGACCAGGGAGTGCGAGGGATGCAGGGAGGAAGAACCTGAGGAAGGGCCTCAATGTTCTGGGAGGTTCTGGAAAATTCCAGGGAAAAGGCATCTACTTTGCAAACCCCAGCCAGTAGGCAGGGCTGGCTGCCGCATAGCTGAAGGAGGGACAGGCAGGCTCTGGGTGCCTGGCGATGGTTCTAGAAAGTGAGAAGCTGGGATTGGGCTACACGCAGGGTCAGCGCTCCCCAGCATGGAGCGAGGGTGTGGTCAGCAGGCACGCAGGGAGACACCCAGGAGGCCTGCCAAGACTGAAGTCCCCTCCTGGACAGAGCTATTTGCCGACACAGTCATTTCTTGGCAGATGACATGAGAGTGCTGACCTAAGGTCTCTAAACATGCTGTCAAATGGGTAAAAAAAAACCAGCCGGGAACAGTCTGGTCTCGTTTTCATAAAATACCAAAGAGACTCAGGGAGCGGAGCACGGAGCACGGCAGGGTGCTTAGGGACTGCCCAGCCGGGGGGCAGATGGGGCCAGGCAGGCAGGGTGCTTAGGGACTGCCCAGCCGGGGGGCAGATGGGGCCAGGCAGGCAGGGTGCTTAGGGACTGCCCAGCCGGGGGGCAGATGGGGCCAGGCAGGCAGGGTGCTTAGGGACTGCCCAGCCGGGGGGCAGATGGGGCCAGGCAGGCAGGGTGCTTGGGGACTGCCCAGCCGCGGGGCAGATCGCACCGAGACTGAGTCCTGCCTGCTCGCAAGCCGGAAATAGCAGTGCCCTTCCCAGAGGGCACAGCCAAGTGGAGTGTCAAGACAAGCTTCTCCCGGTGCCCAAGATGCCACCCAGCTCTTCCATAGCACGCGTTTTCCAGGGACTACCTGAGGAGCCCTCACATAGAAATTCCGGAAGAAAAGGAGACACTCTTGCCACAAAGGTGCCCCCTTCTCGCCCTGCACCCACACAGCCGCAGGGCTGAGTCAGGAGCTCACAGTGGGGACCCACAGGGGCACCCCCAGAGCTGTGCTGCCAGGTCAGCCTAGCGGGGGACACAGCTGCCGAGCCGTGCCCCTCACACATGGGGACGGGGGGCCAAGGCACCCCGCGGAGGGGACGATTAGCCGAGACTTGCCAAGGGCTGTTCTCTGGGCTGATTTGGCCCTGATTCAGGTTTTCCAGCCCCACCAGCTGTCGCCTCTTCCCAGAGCCCTCCTTGCTGCCGCCTGCAAGTCTGAACAGGACCCTCCCTGCTCAGGGCCCCCCATGCCGCTCGCGGGAGGCTGGCACAGGGCCAGCTGGCAGCCCAGCGAGGCCCCCATGGCTCAGTCCCCCCACAGTGTGGGATGGAAGAGCTGGCTGCGAGGCCAGGGGGCCCGGATGGGGTTTAGAATTTAAATACAGTAGGGGAGAAGCAGGGAGCGGGGAAGAGCATTGGTACGAATTCATCTGAACTGAGCTGTGGGAACTTTGCAGACCCTTGCTCGTGCAGCCTGCAGAGGGGAGGGTGCTGCAGCCAGCCAGGTGGGGAGGGCTGTGATGGGCGGTGCTTAGGGCTCAGGGCAGGCAGGGACAAAGGCCCTAGGACCCCCGAAGAAGGACCCAGAAGACCCAGCAGCCAACGGCCAACAGCGACCGAGTTGGTGGCTCGCCTGCAGCCTCCATTCTGGCGCAGGCAGCTGACCACTAATACTATTCTCCCTTCGGCCAGGCCTCCCTCCTTGGCCACTGGCCCTTCTCTCAGGCCGACATGGTCCTTTTTAAAGAAAATCATGATTGTGGCATAAGGCCTGCTGCCCTCTGAGTGTATGGTCCCGGGTACCCAGGACATCCTCCCTGCTGGGCCTCCATCACCACCATGCACTGTCAGGACGCCTTATACAAACAGCCTCTGTCCCCAAATGCTGCGGACTCCCCAGTCCCACCTGCACTGGCACCTGCTGTTCTATGCTGCCTCTTCACCAATACAGTGGGCCAAGGAACTGCAGTGGGCACTTCCACAGCACCTGCTCACCCCTGGCTCCCAACCCACAGCCCGGGGTCACGACTGTGTGGAGCAGGAAGTGAGTCAATTTCCTAAAGCCGGTCAGCTGAAAGCCAGGTATCCCTGATTCCAGCAGCCAAGTTCTTTTTGTCTAAATCACGGCTCCCAGAGCTGAACCCAGATGTCATCCGTTTGCTCCCATTTGTCTGCCGAGTGTCTGGGGGAGCTTGCCCTTCACAGTGGATGGACAATGCACACATGACACTGACCACAGAGCCCACCGCGAGGTGGCTGACCAGCGGGATCGGCTGCGTTCACTCCCCGCAGCCCGCAGCTGAAGGGCGTGCATGTGTACACGGCCTGCCTGGCAGAGCCCGGGCACCTGGATGGCAGCGTGTCTTACCAATACAGCTGCCTAGAGCATCTTGTATAAAGCCACTCTTGCACTGTAGCTTGGGTCTGCAGCGGAAGGATCCCAGAGTATTCTGACAGATAAAATCGGGGAGGCAGTTATGAATACCACTCTCACACTCGTCAATATCTGGTATATCATAAAAAAAGGAGATGGTTAGCGAGGGTCCCGCCGGGCAGCCGATAGCACTTCAACATCACAACAGTCTCTTTCTCTTATTAAATGCCCATCACTTAGACTACAGTCCCCAAACGTCCCAACAGCGAGGTCACGCCTCAGCAGGGCCAGAAGCTGCCAAATGGCGCTCTCGTTGCTAAACGCTTCCTCTCCCCACCTGTCACTCTGACAAGGCCAACCTGCTGTGACAAAGTAAACAACCCAGGCATTTTCCTGGCACATATACCTACGACTATTTATTCAGGCCAAGAGCGTGCTTACTTGCGATCTGAAAACCATTATCTTAATGGCCATAAACAGTCTCTCTACAATCATGCCCAAGCCCGAAGCTCTTACCAACCCCAACACGAGCAACGGTCATGTGTCCGCAAGACCTTCTGGAAGTTCATGGCCATCAGCTGCTCAAGCATGTGTGTACACTCAGCTGGCCGGGTGCCCTGGGCAGCTCAGGGCTGGACTGCCCAACCTGGGTGCGGGGCAGAGGGTGCCACCCTGGTCCCAAAGCGCACAGGTGAGCGGAGGCGGTGCCTTGCTTCTGAGGCCCCCTCCAAGTCCACCGGTGGTCATGTCCCCCTCCAGGAAACCATGCCCGCAACCTGCCCAACAGCACCTCCAGCCAGGCTGGGCGACAGCAGCAGCCAGAGCAGGGCATTCTGAACTTCAAGGAAGCCTGGTGTCAGACGGAGCCGCTGCTGTGTAAGACTCTCTCTCCCTCTCTCTGCCTCTCTCTGCCTCTCTCTGCCTCTCTCTCCCTCTCTCTGCCTCTCTCTCCCTCTCTCTGCCTCTCTCTCCCTCTCTCTGCTCTCTCTCCCTCTCTCTCCCTGCCTCTCTCTCCCTCTCTCTGCCTCTCTCTGCCTCCCTCTGCCTCTCTCTTCCTCTCTCCTTCTCTCTCCCTCTCTCTGCCTTTCTCTCCTTCTCTCTCCCTCTCTCTGCCTTTCTCTCCTTCTCTCTCTCCCTCTCTCTGCCTCTCTCTCCCTCTCTCTGCCTCTCTCTCCCTCTCTCTGCCTCTCTCTCCTTCTCTCTGCTCTCTCTCCCTCTCTCTCCCTCTCTCTCCCTCTCTCTCTCTCTCCCTCTCTCTCCCTCTCTCTCCCTGCCTCTCTCTCCCTCTCTCTGCCTCTCTCTCCCTCTCTCTCCCTCTCTCTGCCTCCCTCCCTCTCTCTGCCTCTCTCTCCCTCTCTCTCCCTGCCTCTCTCTCCCTCTCTCTCCCTCTCTCTGCCTCCCTCCCTCTCTCTGCCTCCCTCCCTCTCTTTCTCACTCTTTACAGATGGCACATGCAGTAGCATGCGACATTCGAATCTGCCAGGGCAAAGGTGAACCTCCACTAACCCCAGAACTAGCAGGGTCGTGCACACCTGCCCACCTCACTGCCAGCCCTGTGACGTCTCATCGCCCTGCCCCCTGCCCACCCCGGCCCCGGGCACACTTGGCGAGGTCTCACCTTTGCAGTTGTTGTCCTCCGTGAGCTCATAGCCCGTGCCGCAGCTGCTGTCCCGCTGGCAGCGGAAGGAGCCCACCGTGTTGATGCAAGACTCGCCCAGGCGGCAGTTGTGGCTGCTGGTGATGCACTCATTGACATCTGCAAGAAACCAGAGTGACCGTGGGAGTGACACAAGGACAGCAGAAGGCGTGGACCAGGCCTTCATGGTGCCTGGGCGTGGGGTCCCCTACAGGCAGCTTCCCTCTGCGGCTCTCTGGTCTCCCCACCCTGAGGCGTAGGTCTCACGGCCAGCTCCAGGGGGCACCAGAGAGCCCAAGAGCCTGCTCAGAGCCCACTGACCGCGGCCAGCACCCCTACCTTCGCAGGAGACGCCGTCCGGCAGCAGCTGGTATCCCACAAAGCAGGAGCAGACCACCTCCTCCCCCGTGTCACGGCATTGCTGCTTGCAGGGCCCGCCGCCTGTGGGCAAGAGTGGACGTGAGTTAGGTGCTGGCCTTGGCTGGAAACCACTGGGCCTTGCAGTGCTGTGCAGACCGGGTCCTGGCAGAGGGCGCGCTCCTGGGAAGGGCTCCCAGCTTGCGGCCTCACACAGCTCTTGCCCCTACGAGAGAGTCCAGCTCTGGGCAGCAGCAGACCAGGAGGTTTTGGCAGGGGTGGGGGTCTGAGTCACTCCCCTCCTTCCCCTCCTGGGCCTCAGCGCTGTCACCTTGCCCCCTGATTACCCTTCCAGCTGCAGCCTGAGGCGCAGCCCTGCTGGCCCAGACTTGTCATGTGAAAGGAGCAAAGTCTCATTTCAGAGAAACCTGCCAGCCACCCACCCCCAACCGCAGCCCACTAGCTTAAGGTCCATGACCCACAGCTACAGCACCAGGCACACAGCCAAGCTCCACTCCGCCAGGAACTCCCCCAAAGCAAGCAGCCCCACTTTGGCTCAAGGCCTGTGAACCTGGTGAGCTTCAGGCCACACTGCCATGGGAGAACCTCCCCAGACAGCCCCTCGGCATGGCCCCTCCACACCCTCTCCCTCACCACGGCAGAAGCGGCTCCCGGCCAACAACCGGCCATGCCAGTGCTGACTGGCCTTTGGGCTCAGGAGCCCCCGAACAGCCAGCGGGGGACCCCGGCTCACCTCGGCAGCGGTCATTCAGGTAGGGGTCCTCTTGCTCCTCGTCCTCGGAGAGCTTAGCTAAGGGAGGAGGAAGGCAAGATGGACATCTGTGACCTGGCGGGGCACCGAGCTGGCCCTTCTAGAAACAGCCACTCACCCAGGTGGGTTCTTGGCATGCCCATGAGCCAACCAAGTGACTTCTACATTGAGTGCCATGAGCTGTCACTCTGTCCTACAGCCGCGCCCATGGCAAAGGCTGGTAAAGGCTGGCAGAGGCGACAGGTTGGACGGCGTCCACCAGCTGACCCTGACACGGCCACACTGGGCCTGAACAACTCACCCTTTATTCCTGGACTTCCTTTGTCATGGGCCAGGGCTGGTGTGTGGACACTCTGGGTGGCCCCCGGCAGGCCCACGGCAAGGTCAGTGGAAATTAAGAAGGCCCATCTGTGACGGTGATGTGGCTCCTTGGGGAGGAGGGAGCCTGGAAGGGGGCCCCTCAAGAGAGAGGCTCGGAGCCCAGGACACAACCAGCCCCCAACTGGGCACATAGTGGGGATTGGGAGGGTGAACTTGCTATGAAGATGTCACCTCTGACCCCAGAAGCTAGGGGAAGAAGCATACTGTGGTCCTGATCTCCAAGTCCAAAGCATCAAAAACCAAAGCAACAGGTGCATTTGGCGTAAGAGGCCCAAGTCTCAAGGGCTACAGTGCCACCGAATAGCTGGCGTTGACTGGCAGCTCTAACTCCTCCCTTTTGATCCCTTGCTGCTCAACTTTTTAGAATTTATTGATCAGACGGAGCCAGAGTTTCCATCCGGCTACGCACTCCCCCAGTGCCAGCAACAGCCGGGGTTGGGGGCTCATGGTCTCCTTTGTTCTTTAAACAGCGGACGATGATGTCCAAAGCCGCCCAGCAAGTGTGGGCAGGAAGACCTCTGCATTTCTCCAGGGAAAATTTCACAAGGCGCGGGAAATCAGAGCCTGAGCCTGCCCCCTGGCCCATGTCACTCAGCTCCAGGCTGACCCGGCTCGGACACTGTGGGGGAGGGGCAGAGAGGCAGGACAGGCAGGTGCATGGCTGGGGGTGCCCAGCAAGCCGCTCTCGGGCGCCCATGCCCTCCAGCTTAAGCAGGCAGCCATTAGCAGAAAGTAGGGCCTCTTCATAACCAGTGGCGCCCCCCAACCTCTCACCTATGAGACAGGCATTAGCCAGGACAAGGGGAGGCCAGTGTCCTCTCCCCACCCACTTGCCACGTGCCCTCGAGCACCAGGTCCTCACTGCAGAGACCAGCCATCTGTGCTGGCCAGGGTTGTTGGGGAGTGGGAGGGAAGGTGAAGACACGCAGCCACCCAGGACCCCATCTCCACCCCTCCCAGTCACTGACACATTGGGGCTGCGGTGACGTAGGAACGGACCCCCAGGACGAGGACTCAGTGACGCTGAACCCCAAGCCCGTGGCTCTCAGGTGAGGCCATGAACAGGAAACGGGTCCAACGCTGGACCCAGCTGTGTTGGGCTAAGGCAGCAGGAACAGTAGACGCTCATGCCGGCTGCTGCCGAATGTCAAGTGTCCCCTCGGCCGGGCCACGGACACTGCTGGGACACGGTGTCCCCTCGGCCGGGCCACGGACACTGCTGGGACACGGTGTCCCCTCACTGGGCCACGGACACTGCTGGGACACGGTGTCCCCTCAGCTGGGCCATGGACACTGCTGGGACACGGTGTCCCCTTGGCCGGGCCACGGACACTGCTGGGACACAGCGTCCCCTCACTGGGCCACGGACACTGCTGGGACACGGTGTCCCCTCAGCTGGGCCATGGACACTGCTGGGACACGGTGTCCCCTCAGCTGGGCCATGGACACTGCTGGGACACAGCGTCCCCTCACTGGGCCACGGACACTGCTGGGACACAACGTCCCCTCACTGGGCCACGGACACTGCTGGGACACAGCGTCCCCTCACTGGGCCACGGACACTGCTGGGACACAACGTCCCCTCACTGGGCCACGGACACTGCTGGGACACGGTGTGGACGTGGCTGGGAAGGCATTTCTTCTATTTGTTTTTTGTTTTGTTTTTAAAAATGTGTTTATTTGGCTCTTTTTGAAGTATCTTGTAGTGCTTTGGAAGAAGGCATTTTTTTAAACATGTATTTATTTGTTGGGCAGAGTGGCAGAGAGGGCCAGAGATCTTCCAGCTGTTGATTCACTCCCTGTGACGCCCCCCAAGCAGGGCCAGGCCGAGGCAAAAACAGGAGCCCGGAATTCCACCCGGGTCTCCCATGCAGATGGCAGAGGCCCAAGCACTAGGACCATCTGCTGCTGCTTTCCCACGTGCGTTAGTGAGGAGCTGGATCGTGAGTGGAGCAGCCGGGACTCAAACTGACCCTCAAGTATGGGACGCCAGCCTGCGGGCAGTGGTTTAACATGCTGCGCCACCACACTGGCCTCTGGGAAAGCTTTGTGTTTAATGAGATCGATCTGCAAGCCAAGCAGATGACCGTCCACCGCGTGGAAGACTCCGTCCCATCAGTCAAAGCCCTGACCGGAAGGCAGCGTGACCTCCCCCGGGCGGAGAGAAGCAGGGTGCCAGACTCAGGCCTTGGGGCTGCCGTGCAGCACTTGAACTTGCCGGCTGCTCAACATGGGGTCCTTCAGCATCCTTGGGGGACTCCCCATGAGTACCCACATGCCTGCCTTGTGGACCATCATCCGTGCAGCAGCCATTGCTAGAGTTTAGAGCTAAGGGGTCAGCAACTACAGCACACTGCCGAGGGTGGGTGCTTGGCCCGACAGCTAACAGCTAACACCCATGGGTGTCAGTCCCTGCTCTGCTCTCACTCCCAGCTCCCTGCAAATGCAGATCCTGGGAGACAGCGGGCACTGGCTCACACTTAGGTCCCAGCCACCCACTGAGGAGACCCGGGCAGCGTTCCTGGCAGCCCTGGCTGTTGCAGGCCTCTGGGTGCCAGTCAGAGACGGATGGCTGTCTTCCTGCCTTGCAAACCAACAGATGTTGAGACATCTAACCGCTCTGTGATTGCAGCCTCTTCTTTGCTCCTTTCGATCTGTGGTCGTGGCGCCCGCGGATGAGGGCTTGGGGGAGGGCTGTCCTCACCCGTGCGGGGAGCCCCAGCACAGGGCCTGGGAGCGAAGAGGAGGGAGCTTACCTGTTTGTTTCAGGTCCCCGACGTTGCCAGGCACCAGCTCCGCCGTCTCCTGGCCCTTCACGCAGCACGCCCGGAAGACCTGGCCGCACTGGTAGCCGACCATGAGGTTGTACTCGCAGCTCTGGCCCTGGGCTTGGGCCGCCCGCCCCAGCAGGCAGCAGTGACAGCATCTCTAGGGACACAGGGCCAGTGCCTGAGCATGTGCACACGGGGCAGTGGCCACCCACACCTGGCCTAGGTCCGCCCAACCTCAGCCATCAACGCCAAGACAGGCCCTCTCCCAGCCCTGACACAGAACTGGCCCCTCAGCACACCCCTCGTGGAGCTTTCCAGAAGCTGCCAGCTGTGGCTCCTGTGGGGTTCACGCCCTCCTCCCCGCCCCTCTGCCACGAGGCATGGGGAGCACTCATGGCTCACCTGCCTTTGGGGCCAGAGTGACCCTTCCCGAACACCAGTGCTTCCTTGGCCAAGGCTGCCGATCCCACTCCCCCGGACTGTCTCTGCTTTCCTACCTGTCAGACTCCCACCGTAAGCAGATGGATGCCAGGGTCCTGGCTCCCTGGCTCCCAGACACCCCTTGACCTGGACCCCTTCTCCTACACAGGCCAAGCAGGCCAGGGGCTGGGACCCCCAATTCTGGCAAATCTGCATACAGAGGGCGGCTCACGACTGCCCACCCAGAGCCCCACAGTTCGTGCAAACACTTGCTCCTGCGGGACTAGCTGTTCCAGGGTGTTCACTGACCAGCCAGTGGCCTGGTAGACACCACCAGCCTAGAAGCTTGGACTGGGCTCAGTGCCTCCCCTGCAGGTGGCCTGGACGGCCTGTTGCTGTGGGCCCTGACCGCCACCCCAGGGACACGCAGGCTGAGGGGCCTAGCTTGGCCGGCCCTGGCGGGGCTGCTCAGAGAGGAGACTTCATGGCCCTCGACCTTGGCACGAAGACCTCTCTGACACCCATTGCGACCACGCTGGCAGCCTCATGGTAGCCACCCTGAGCTCTCGGCCCTGCAGAGAAGCCTGGAGCCCTCCGGGCAGGTGGCGTGGCTCCCCATCCCACACCCCCCTACTTCTCCAGCACTGGGCGGGGAGAGTGGGGGACACGTGAATGTTCTCTGCTCCCCGTCATGAGCAGAGAGCCCGTGGCTGCTGCTGACCGGCATGGGGCGTGGGACAGCCCCCGTGTGGGTGGGAGAGGACCCGGGTCCTCACCTTCACGAACATGGCCTCAAGGCCGGCACTGTCCTCGCGGGGCGCCGCGCAGCTCTCCTGCTCGCTGGCCAGGTTGATGCCCGTGGTGCAGTACAGCTCCTCCAGCTGGCTGTGGCAGCATTGCTCGTGGACCATCCTGCGGGCAGGGCCGGGGGTTGGTTAGCACACAGGCCCTGGCAGTGGGGACGCACACCCCCACAGGCAGAGACAACACGACAGCTGTCCTCAGGGAGGCTCTTCGGGTATACTCAGTGGGAGAGTCGGTTGCAGACAGGTGATTGGTGTGAACTGGAGACCCACAGCTGTGGCTAGAGCGGGGCCTGGCCCGGAGGCTCTGACACCTGTTGCTCACGGGGGCTAGGTTCACAGGAAACGGCTCCAGGCAATTGTGTGCCACATGGCTTGCTCAGGCCCAGGAGGGCAGAGCAGCAGCGGTGCCAGCGCAGGCCGTGGCCCCGCCCAGGCTCCCAGGAAGTCATCCGCAGCAGCCAAGATCTGAGGCAGGGAGGAGGACTGTGACTGCCAGGACCTCTCTCCGACACAGCCACATGGCAGTGTGAGCTCGGGCCCGGTGTAGGGGGTCTGAATGTCACAGGTGGCTCCCTCCCAGACCCAAAATAACCCCAGCGTCAGCCAAGGCCAGCAGGGCCAGCTACCTGCCCTGCTCCAGCTCAGAGAGGGTGGGGTCCAGCTGGGCTGCCTGCCTCTGTCTGCTGCGGTGCTGGGGGTCTGCTGTGGCTCTCCGGAGCCAGGTTGGGACTTTAGGATGACTTTGCTCACGTGTGCAACAGCACACATCATGCTTTCCACAAATTTGCAAAGGACAGGAATTCCACTGGTTCACAACATTGTTTGATAATCCACTTAGCTGGGACATACTGGCTAGACATGTATATGATAACCAGATCACCCAGACACACCAGCTGGACACATGTGTAATAACTGCTCACCCCAGACACGCCAGCTGGACACATGTATAATAACACGTTCACCCCACACATGCCAGCCACCGGGAGCCAGCAAGGCTACGAGCAGCCCTATGCCCTGCTAGCAGCAACAGCAGCTGCCCGCACGCCCATGACTGACTCAACCAGGGCAAGCAGGGCTGGGTGAAGCATTTGCACGCTCCCTTCACAATCACCAGGAGGAGGTGAAAACAACCCAGCAGCCTGTCAGTGCAGCAAGGGGACTCCAGCATTCTGTATCCCAACAGAGCACCAGGCAGTCCCAGCTCAGCGACTTGTGCCCCGGCTCCCCGCGGTGTCCTTGGGAGAGAGCAGCCGACGGCTCCCAGTGATGGAGAGTGGGAGGGCGCTTGCCAGGGCTACTGGGGAGACGAAAGATGAGGCACACTGACTTCCAGTTCCACTAGATGGAAAGTTCTGGAGAGGGAGGGCGGTAACAGCTGCACAGAGTGGCAATGCAGAGATGAAGGGGGCAGGAGACCATTAGTCAAAACGTGGCTCAGGGGTGAAGGTACCCACAGCCCACACTGGAGGGCCTGGGTTCGAGTCCCAACTGCAGCACCTGACAGTGCAGACCCGGCAGGCAGGCTCAAGTTGCTGGGTTCTTGAGGGAGGGGGCCTGGACTGAGCAGCCCTGCCAGTAAGAGTAGCACTGGGGTTGTCAGGCAGCGGATGCTAGCTGTGTGTGTGTTGGTCTTTCTATTTCTCAAATCTCCTGCAAAAAACATGGTCAAAATAGTCAATTTTATGATGTGGGCTTTTTGCTGTAATTCTAGAAATTCTGCATGGGTTCCAGGGACAATCTGGGCTCTGGCCTCTTCAAGGAGACCAGCTGACTCCTCGGGTGCTAATGTCTGCCCCGGGATGCACGATGCCATGCCAGGGTCCCCAGGGCCGCGGGCAGAGCCGGCAGTCTGCTGCTGTCCAGCTGACTGGCACCGTCCCTGTGGGCTTGCTGTCGCACCTGTGGGGCTGGGCATGGCGACAGCGCCCCCCAGGGGTCGCACCACAGCCCACAGCAGCCATGGAATAGCAGTGCCTCCGCAGTCACCAAGTCCCACCAACATCGGGGACAGATTCCCCAGCAGCATTTACAGGTCCACAAGGGCCAGGCCTTACAAAAGAGGAGCATTGCTCTGCCCGCACGCTCTCTGCCTAGCCCAGCAGGAGACTGCATGATTGGTGGTTTTCAAATATAGACCAGGCTCCAGGAAGGCCAGTGTGCACTGTGAAGGCCCAGCCAGTGTCCATGAGCCCTTGGGGCAGGAGGGAGGGACTCCTGGAGCTGGGCACGCACGTCCTGGCTGGCCCCACTCAGGCTCTCCCTGGCCAGCAGCTCCCGGAGTTTTGGAATGTGCTCAATACAAGGCACGCACAGCAAGGCCCCTAGCCCTCCCCGTCCACAGCCAGAGTTCTTTCATGCCTGTCCACAGCAGCCCTCTTCTCACTACGGCTCCACCAGGACTTGACCAGACACCCAGCTCCCAGTAACACGCTGCCACCTTGACACTCCTGGCACCAAGCTTGACACCCAAAGGTGCAACTTGCTCTCACCAGACACTCCCCCAATCTCGACCACGTGGCCCTTAAAGTTCCCTGTTTGGGATGCCACTGACCTCCCGTGGAGATGGACACTGCCTATCGTGAATGGCAGGCGGCACCCTGCCCCCGCCCCCCCGGTGTCAGTACAAGCGCCAGCATGCTGGAGGGGGTGGCCACCACGTCCCTACAAGTCCTTTCCTTGTTAGCCTCCTGCCAGCTGACCCGCAGGGTCCAGGTGGGAGTGAAGGCAGAGGAATTCCACGGGAATGATTGCAGAGCCCCGGCAGCCTGGGGCACACCCTGACATCATCGCCAAACGGCTGTGTGCGTGGGGAGGCCCATCTCCTTGTCCACAGGATGGAGCTGCTAATCACAGCTAAATGAAAAGACGCAGGGTTGGCATGGTGGGGCACCACGCTAGGTACCCATCTGCAGCAGACATCCTATGCGGGCACTGGTTCGAGTCCTGGCTGCTCCACTTCTAACTCAGCTCCCTGCTAATGCGGCTGGGAAAGCAGCAGAGGATGACCCGAGCGCTCGAGACTTTGTACCCGCATGGGAGACCTGGAAGAAGCTCCTGGCTTCCATCTCGCACCTGCCTGGCTGCGGCAGCCATCTGGGAGTGAACCAGCAGACGGAAGAGTCTCTCTCTCTGTCTGTATAGATCATACAGACATATCACTCTGCCTTTCAAACAAATAAACCGTTGAGAAGACATGTGTGAGACTCACAGCGCATAAAACTGTTTCAAGATGGTGGTTCTGAGCTTTGTGCCAAAACGCTGAGGTGACAGGAGGGGCAGGGGAAGAGCAGCACGCCAGCCAGCAGTCCAGCCCGACGCTGGCTGCCACGTACGGGGCTCGCCCGTTGTGAGACATCTCAGTTCAGGCCTGGCTCACCCCCACCCTGGCGGGGGTCACAGGTGGGCCCCATTTCTGTCCCCACAGTGCCAGTGGATCCCCTCTCAACCTCCCCGCCCCATTCTTTGGGAGGAAACCGCTTGCCCATGGCTGCTTCAAACCCGTGTCCTTGTACCCCATTCACCACTGAGAGCACAGGAGGGGTGCCTGAGCGCTGGGCGAGGGCCAAGGGCAAACACAGGAGAGCGTGAAGAGAGCCAGGAAGGCAGGGGCGGACCGCCGTCCTGACAAACACACCATCCCTCCCTCCCCTCGCCCTGCTCCAGGCAGTGGCCGCCAGCAGACACACCTGCACTCCTTGGAATCGGCAGAGTAGGACAGGGAGCAGTCCCGGTGCTGGGTGGCCATGCGCTGTCCGTCGGCGCAGCAGGCCTCCATGGAGACGTCCGTGGCCCCTACACAGGAGAGAGAGGGCAGCTGGTGATTCGTCACCTGCCCACGCTGGGGGCCCATGCCCAAGCTACCCCCCAGGCACCCACAGCCTGAGTCCCAGCCACAGCCACAGCCACAGGTCCAGCCTGGAAGGGACAAGCAGCAAACTAGTACCAAAAGCCAGACTCTCCAGCTTGCACCTGCTGAACCCAACCCTGATGGCAGTGCCCAGCTCAGCATGAACAGCCTGTGGGCACACAGCCGCATCTCTGCTTCTGTCAGGTCCCTGCCCTTACGGCCTGCCAGGCAAAACCGACAGGTGGCCAAGTACTGTGGGGCCCAGCTTCTGGGGGAGGTGGGAGGAGGGGACCCAAGGCTCCACCGGAACACAGCATGATCATGGGGGTCTCAAATGCAGGAATCCATGTTTCTTGAGCAGCTTCTGGGACCCACAGAAGCATTTTATCTCTGAGTATGGAATGGCCAGCCTGTGGACCATATGTGCCTGTGAAATCACTTGATCTAGCCCCACCCAGATAACTGCAGGCATACTCAATACACTTCTACAGACTTTTAACTTGACAAGTCTGCACAGCCCCCCAAATGACGTGCCCAACATTCAGTGTAACCAATATCCAATGTGATCAATATTCAACCAGCCTCTGCCAAGGAAGTCTCCCTGCCCTGGACGCAGCAACTAAGGCCTCTGCTGCTCTCTGCCCTCCCTGCCCACAAGACGGCTCAGGGCTCGTGGGCCCCAAAGCAAGGGCGGTGTGGCCCCTAGGCCTCTCACAGGAAGTTCCCTGAGCCTTGCGGTGAATCCAGGTAGGGGGTGCTATTTCCTGCTCCCCAACTGAGCCCTCAGGGTGACCCCCAGACAGAAGCTAGCCCCGGGGTGAAGCCCAGTCGGCTTAAACCCCAGGCTGAGACCAGCCACACTGACCATAGTGTTGATCCATCGAAGGCATACTACTTCTGGGTGCCAAGAACCCCACGTGGAGGGGGGGAAGAAAACAGAAGCCCCCAGGGCAGGGTGCAGTCAGGGCATGGCAGAACTGAAGCCACGAAGAGGGGCCACCCCCCAGGACATCTCCAGGGCTTCCTCCCTGCTTCCTAACATCCCGCCTACTGGCCTCACTCCCTTAACCACAGGTGCACTGGTGCCCACAGCTGCAACCTAAGCCTCTCTCAGACTCAGGCAGGTGCACGTGAGGTGGGGGTCGGTGCCCCTGTCGTGGGCATGTTGTACCTCGTTCTCTGCAGGACGCGGATGCCCGGGAAGGACAGTCCCGGAGCTGGAACTTCCTAAAGCGGGGCTGTCTGGCGGCTGCTTCGGGGGGTTCAGTGCACAGCCTGGTGCCTGGGGTTCCCCATCAGTGCAGGGCAAGTGTCCACAGAGCCCCAGTCAGGGGTCCCTGCTCCCACGTGGTGCCCACTCCCAGCTCTGCCTGGCACTCGCCGACACCTCAGCTCCTCCCCTTCCTCCAGGGCCAGGGACAGCCTCCCCATCTTCTTGGTGACCCCACAGCACCAACCCGTGCTCAGCACAAGCATCACGGCTCGCTGAGCGACAACAAGGAACCGGAAGGACCACCCCGAAGGTTGCTTGGACAGGACAGGACACCTGGCCTGGCAAACAGCAAGGCGGGAGGCCAGTGCCAGGCTGGAGAGAACCATGGCAAAGGCCAGGGTTGGCCATCATTCCAGTCAGAGCTGGGACATGTCCTTGGGATGGGTCTGACACTGTGGAACTAAGTCAGGTCCAATAGAACGAGTCAGTCATTGGGAGAGAAAAGAACGGTGGAATGAGGTGAGGCAGGAATAGAAGCCGGTGTGCACTGAGGGACAGTTTCCGTGGGGGCCAGGAGGTACTCTGCATGTGGAAGTGGTAAGGAGTGCACTGAAGCGAACATCTCCAACGTCACTGAATGGGGCGTTGAGGGTGGCTAATGCAAGCAGAGACATGCTCACCCCACGTCACTGAAGCTGGGCTCCACTCCCGGTGCAGGCTCCGGTTAATGCCGGGGTCAGCAGGAGACAGCTCATGTAACTGGACTCCTGCCACTCGGGACCCAGGTTGAGCTTCTGGCCCCTGGCACTGGCCCCAGCCCAACCTCAGCTTCTGTGGGCATTTGAAGAATGAACCAGCAGCACCTGCTCTCATTCTCTTTCTACTTCTCAAATAAATGGATGCTTATGGCTGGCACAGTAGCTCAGCAAGCTAATCCCGCACATGCGGTATCAGCATCCCACTTAGGCACCACTTCAATCCAGTGCCAGCTAATCCACTGCCCTTTCACCTCTCTGCTTACGGCCTGGGAAAGCAGCAGAGGATGGCCCAAGTCCTTGGGACGCTGCACCTGTGTGGGAGACCCAGAGGAAGCTCCTGGCTATGGATCTGCTGAGTTTCAGCTGTTGCACCCATCTGGGGGAGCAAACCAGCAGATGGAAGATCTTACTTTCTGTCTGTCTTCTCTCTACAAATCTGCCTTTCAAATAAACAAATAAATCTTGTTTTTAAAAAAAATCCACCATATCTCATCAAGAAAAGAGTGGGATGTTTTGCTCACACACTCCCTTAACTTTTCCAACCACCACTGCTTTCCACACTAACGTGAATGCCCTAAGCAAGTGGCAATTGCCTAACTACATCTAGAATGTTCTTGAATAGCAGTGGGACAGTGCATGCAATGGCAAGACTTCAAACGGGAGGAGTTCAAACACTTGGTAACAAATTGTACCTTGGTCCATCAAAATTAAGAGGACTTTAAAAGTTTTTACAAACAAAAACAAGAACACACCCCTGGGAGTGCGGGGAGGCGGCCAGCAGAGGGGCTGGCAGTCACCCAAAGGCCACCGCACCTGCACCCCGCTGCAGGGCTGCTCGCTGCTCGACACGGGGTCTGGGACACAGTGCTCAGAGCTCTCCTGCCGAGTCACTAAAGCGGGGGCCTTTGAGGCCGCAGAGGCGTCCCCGCCTCCAAGCCCTCATCCTTGCCTGACTCCTTTGTGCCTCCCAGGACAGGAGAACCGGATGTGAGAGACCGCCCACCACCACGCCATGTCCCAGGGAACTGCGTGCTGGCAAGTGGCTGCCAGCATCCAGAGGTCACTTCACAAAACACAGAGAGGCCTGTGTCAGGGGGAGGCCGCCGGCACCCCTCATTCGGGCCCTGAGGTCCGGCTCCAGAGCCACCTGTGGGTCTTCATATCCCAACCTCAGTGTCTCATCCATCAGTGAGGGGAAGCGTGGGGGCTCCTGGCCACAGAGCCAGCCCAGTTCCACACTGCAGAGGCGCCCAGGCAGACCACAGGGCATGAAGACGGGCTACGCACGCACGCGCTGGTGAGGACAGCACGCAGTGGCTGGCCAGATTCTTGAATATCCTTAACTGACCGGAGTGGGCAAAGGGCGGGCGTCAGGGCGCAGGGACGCCCATATCAGGGTGCTGGGTTGAGTCCAAGCTGCTTCCCTTCACAGACACTCTCTTTGGTCCCAGAACTCCCCACAAAGAATTAGCTGTGCAGTTAGCACACCTGCTCTGCCTCCTGTGCTTTGCCCAGGCCTGCCCTGAGCTGTCACGGAATCACTGTGAGCCACTGAGCAGCCGGGAACATGGCTCCTGGCAAGGGGGTGAAGAGAACTTGTACAAGTGGCACGATGTCCCCAAACCAGAGGCACTTTCAGATCCAACTCTGGCTCACACCCCCCGACACACACACACACACACACACACACACACACACACACACACACCTTACTCGCTGCTGCCCAACCGGGAAACCCTGGCTTCCCCCAGTTGGACTTTAAGTCAAGGGACCCACCCAGCTCAGCTCCGCTGTTGCAACCGTTTGGGCAGTAGACTAGCAGGTGGAGGACCTCCCTAGCTCTCCTTCTCTTTCAGTAAATCTGTCTCTCAAATAAAAATAAGAATGCCCCGAACAGAAGCGGTGACCTGTTTAGGAGTCTGTAGTTACAGGTAAGCCAGCAGGTTTGAATTTTGGTGCAGGGTCTACGGCCATTCCACCCTGAACGCGCCCGATCTCGTCTGAATGTTGGTGCAGGCACTTGGCAGCCGGGCACATGTAAGGACAGGGCCCCCCTCAAGGTTGGAGCGAGGGCGCAGGGAGGCAGACGGGTGCCCTGCACAGGGCTTCCACTTCCGTCCTCTGATGCCCAGGAGCAGCCCCAAGGGCGTCCCAGGAGAAGCTGCAGGTCAGACCTGAGACTGGCCATAAGGCTCCCATCCGGCAGGGACGCGGACTCAAGAGGAAAAACAGGTTCAGGAGAAGTCCGAGGGGTGGGTGGGGGATTCACATGAAACATTCCAGTCGGGAGAACTGCCCAGAGCAGCGGCGCCCTTACGTCATAGCACACATTACAGGAATCTCGTCTCTGCAGAGCTGGCCCCAGCGCAGCCTCCCCACCCCCATGATGCGGGACCCCCAGCAGGCCAGGCACCTGGAGCAGCGGGAAACCCACCCTCTTCTGGCCCAGTCTGAGTCGGAACAAAGAATGAAGGGGTGGGGGACGGGGAGGAGGGGCAGCCCTGCTCTGGCCCTGCTCTGGCCGCGCCTGGCTGGCTGACCTGGGACGGACGGCCCAGCCAGCCCCCCAGCTCCCAACAGCCTGGAAGTCTCTAACCCCACGTAGTTGACCTAACAGGCGCCTGTCTGCCTTTTTTTTTTTTTTTCCTGTGACCCCACATCTACAGTTACTACCGAGAACCTGGAACTGTGCAGCGGTGCCTGCAAAAGCCCGTATTAATCAAATTGTTGTGACTTGACATTTTGCAAAACCAAAGTCTTTTATTGTATAAAATACACTGGCAAAAGCCCTAGGCATCTCGTGGGAGCTGACTTCATAGAACTTGTAACGCTGCCCACACTACTGCACCACCAGTTGGGGACATCCCAGGCAGGCAGGGGAGCTGGGGTCTCCCCTGGCTGGGGGAGGGGTTACCTCTCCTGGAGTCTGCTGCCCTCTGGGTCGCTGCCCGCACCACCGGGCCCTGTGCCAGCAACACCCTCCCACCGTCCCCCCAGCCCACGCCCCTCCTCCCCCAGCTCTGGTCTTTCCTAGCCCTGCAAGGAGGGCGTCTATATTCCCTAACCCGTGCAGGGTCCCCCAGACCCAGGGTACAGTGGATGAATGACTGAATGTTGCCCAAAGACGCAACTGGCCAAGGCCTGTGCCAACCCAGGGTTGGCGCTCAGAGGCTGCCGGTTCCAGGGCCTCCATCCCAGCTCCTGGCTAGGGAAATGGGGCATGAGAAAATTTTCAGGTGACTCTGGGAAAACAGCGGTGGGTGTCCTGGGCCTGGGAAAGGGTTAGCATATGGCCCCAAGGGTTTCCACCACACCCACCCCCAACACCCGTCCAGCAGGGTCACTTTGTTGGGGGAGGGACAAGAGGGGGATGTGAGCCCTGGACCCGGTGAGGGGAGGCCCCACAGCTGTCCCCCACCCCGTAAGTCTGGTCTTCATGCTTTCAGAGCCCTGGGCCCCACCTCCCAACTGGGAAGCTTCCAGAAGGGCAGCAGCCCAGGCCACATGTTTTTACGCCAAGTCCTCTCGGCTTTGTTCTTTCTCCCAGCGCGACTCCCTTTTAATCAGTCCAAACCAGCAAGTTTTGGAGAAAACACATTTGGCCATCCCGAACCTCCCCCTTCTCCCACCCCAACCTTCGGTAAAAGCTCCAGCAGGGATGCAGTGGCCCTCGGCAAAGGGCCACCAGTGCCCTTGGACCCCAGCAACCCAGGCTGCGAGCCATTTCCATCTGACTGCGAAAGCAGGGGGTAGGTCACCCATGACCGTGTGTGGGGCTGCAGGGACTGTGGTGCAGCCGTACAGAAAGTACCCAGGGTTACCCAGACCTCGCCACGCTCTGACAAAATGGAGAGGGGGTGTATGCCCTTCGGGGCGTGGCTTCGCCCAGGGTGCTCCTGGAAGCCAAAATTACTTAGGACATTAGGCACAAAAGGATGTGGGGGAGACGGCCTGGGGAGGATCCCTGGGGGGCAGAGGTGAACCCAGCCTTCTCACCCTAGACGCCCCCTTGCCGGCTGTGAGCCCCCGCTCTGGGTCTCTCTCCTACCCCAGTTCCCCACTGGCCACCTGCCTCCCCAGCTCTTGCCCAGGAAGCCCTGTGTCCGCCTCCCCCTCACTCCAGAAGTGACCCAGCACAGGGCCAGAAGTCCACGGAGGTCCAGCCCCGACCCGCTCCTCCAGCCTCCACTGGAATCCTGCCCCACCCCACCCCCACCGGGACAAGTGACCTTTTGACCAAGGAGATGGTGACCACCAGTAGGGTGTCCAAAACAAAATAAACCAGGGGAAAAGACACCGAAGTCCCAGGGGGGTCTGGAAACAAAAGACTCCAGCAGGGCTAGGCCGGCTAATGGCCCAGAAGAGCCAGGGGGTCAGCCAAGAGGGCCGGGGTCAGGGCTCTGCTGCCCTCAGAGCTTGATCCAAGAGACTGGCAGCCACCCCTCCTCCCAGGAGAGCCAGAAGCTCTCGGCCTGGGTGGCCCGTGCTGCCCGCCTCCGCTCTGGCTGGCCAGGACCTGCCAGGGGAGACGCGAGACGCCATCCCCAGTCTCTCCGGGTGGGGAGGTTTGGAAGAAACGGCCTAGCTCAGCTGGAGCCTGGCAGAATCGCTGGCTGGGGCCCTGTCCAATCCAGGAAGGCAGCCAAGTATGCAGCCCCCTCCCCTCCATCTGCACCCCTACTTTCTGATCTGTCCCAGCTGCGCCCGACTCTCCCATCTCCTTTCCCCAGCAGCAAGCTGGCAAAACCGCTCCCACCTGGCCAGGGGTGGGGGCAGCAAAAGGTATACGCAGCACACTCCTGGGCCAAAGCCTGGGGGCTCGGTGACCCGCAGCTAGCGCTCCTCATGCCAGCCCGAGACCATCCGACTCCCAGGGCTGGGTGGGTGCGCACGAGAGGGTCTCATGGGTAAGGATAGCCAGAGAGGGCAGCGTTGGGGCTGCCAGGAGTCAGGGGAGGGAAGGAGACGTCGCCCCGGCTGGGGGCCGCACCGCAACGACCCCGGGGGCGCAGGCGGGGCGGCGCACGGGCTTCGGCTCCACGACCCCCAAGCGCGGCGGAGCCGGGGCGGGGACGCCCTACCTCGGGCCGCCAGCAGCGAAAGGCCGCCGAGCAGCAGCAGCGGCAGCGGGACCCGGCGCGACGGCGAGGCGCGCTCCATGGGGCTGGCGGGGACAAAGGCGCGGGCGGCTCCTGGCTCGGCGGGCGCGGCGGGCAGCGCGCTCCACGCTCGGCCCCAGGATCCGCGGCCGTCGCCGGGCCCGGGCGCGCCTTTCAATTATCCCGCCCGGAGGAGGGCGCGGCGGAGGCGGGGCCGCCGGGACCCTCCCTCCCCTGCTCCGGGCCTCGCCGGGGGTGGGGAGTGGGGACCTGGGCTTCCCTGGAGAGGCAGAGACGGGGGGCGGGGAGGCGCCCTAGGGCCGGATCCGCCTGCTTCTACCCCCATCTGCCCCTCTCCCAGCGCGCGTGAAACCCGATCCCCCTAAGCTCCGGCGAGCCCGACTCTGGAGCCGGATCAGAGGTTAGCTCCGCCCGACCTGCAGAACCTACCCGGGCCTCCAAAGTCTGCCCCCGTTACGGAGGATTCCTGCGGACAGGCTCGCCGGCAAGCCCCGCACCCCACCCCGTCTGCCCCAGGAGGTCTCTGGCACTAACCAGCCCCAGAGAGGTGACAGATTGAAGCGGGCACATGAACCCCAGGGAAGGCAGCCTGGACTGGGCCTGCAGCACGCTAGTTCCTGCAAGAATTCCTGGCTGCGGACAGGCGGGGTGGCTGACGGTGGGCTGGGCTGTTGGCCCCAAGAGAAGAGGGGGATGGGGGGACCCAGTGTGGGTGAAGCTGGGAGCATAGGAATGAGGACCGACCCCCCCCCCCCAGGAGTTTTGTGGAGCAGGCAGAGGGTCCAGGAGCCAGCCCTTCAACTTCTAGGTTTCTGCCTAGCCAGAAGTATCCACTTGCTTTGCAGTCTGGCAGGCGTCCACCGACACCATCGCAACCAAACTGTCACTGGCGTCCTGCAGCCCCCTGAACCCCGGAGCATGCACACCTGCAGCTCATCCAGCAGACACGAGCTTGGGACAGCAAGAAGTCTGCTGGGAGCCCAGGAGGGCTCTGGCAAAAGGTGGGAAGGTTGTGGGGAATGGCTCCCTCCCCGGCTCTGCGCCCCCAGGCTACTCAGGCACTGAGAGGAAGCTCCTTGGAATTTTGGTTTTATTTGGTGTGAATGTTTAAGGGTGCCTTGGAGAGACTGTCACGGCTGGGGGGAGGGTGACTGAGGGGAGGGGGGAGGACCGACCAGGGAGAGACCTTGAGGCCTGTGAAAGGAGATAGGAGACCATGAGGGTCCTGTGGGGAGGTGGGCGTCTGGGCTGTGGCAGAGTTGGGGGGCAGGAAGTAGCAGCTGGGGTGACTCCCATGCGTTGATCCCTTCATTCCAGAGTGTGTGGGTGACTCAGTCACTCAGCTGGGCACCTGGTAACTAAAGGGACACCCCTGGCAGGGGTGGGGAGGTGAGAGAGGTGGGACCCCTCCTGACCGCTCACCTTTGAGATACTCTGCAGCCTGACCAGGTCTCCCTGCCCCAGTGCCAACTGACAGCCGGCTACAGGTGTTGGGCACAGCCTGGGGAGTGGGGGAACACTCAGCTTCCTGTCCTGCTGGGCCACTCCCTGCTCTGTGGCCTGTCATCAGCTTTCACAGGGGACCAGCAATGATCCCCGTGGCCGTGACAGCATCCATAACAGCCCAGTGCAATGTCCCCGCACAAGGACCCATGCAGCTGCCTGGTCACAAGGCCAGAGGGGATGTGTCCTCAGGGCCTGGACCCCACCCCCACGCTCTGCTGGGGCAGGCTCTGTGTGAGCTTCAGGGTCGCATGTGCAATGCCGTGGCTGCTTTCCGAGGCCTGCATCCCCCAGCTCTGAGCCACAGGAAGTGCAGAAGCCTGAGGCTCTCGCTTACCCGGTGAGCTCAGCCAGGGGTGGCCCATGCTTGGCCCTGGACGTCACTGCCTGCTCTGCCTGCTTAGGCCAAAGCCTTGGGGGCCGGGTGTCATGACGCATCGGGTTAAGCCTCTGATATCCCTGCTCTGCTCCGGATCCAGCTTCCTGCTGATGGCACCCAGGAAGGTAGTACGTGATGGCCCAAGTCCTTGGACCCCTGCCCCCTCCTGGGAGACCCAGACGGAATTCCTGGCAGCTGGCTCTGGCCTGGCTCAGCCCTGGCTGTTGCAGCCGTCTGTGGAATGAATCAGACATCTCTCTGTATCTCTCTGCCTTTCAAACAGTAAGTCAACAGATCTCTGGAAAAGGAATGAATGCCCTGGACCCGCCCCTGGTTGCCGTGTGGAGGGTTCCATTTTCCATTGCATGTTCCCAAGGGTTCCTAGTGGTGTCAGAAGTCTGGGCTGCACGCACAGAGCTGGGAGATGGAGACCTCGGAGAGCAGCCACGCTGTCGGCCTCTCAGCCGCTCTCCTTGGCCGGGGCAGCTGCTGAACTGTGAGCACTGCAGGCTCGCTCAGGTCCTTGGCCTCCTGGCCTCCACACCATAACGAGAACCTGTGTGTGGTTGGACTGTGGGTCATCCGCTGGCACAGCGACCCACAGTCCTCCCCTTCCAAGGTGTGTTCTCGATCTGCCCCCAAGTGGAGCCCCTCACTTATGCCTGCTAGCCTCCACTGCTGGGGGGCCTTCCACATACTTTATCCAGTTAATGTTGAATCATTTGGGACTGAAATGCAGCGGGGAAAGGCAGCATCCCGCAGCAGCGCACTTACTGGGTGCAAGATTGGATTCTGTTAAACTGCCAGTCCGTGACGTGATGGGGCCATTATGTCCCTGCTGGAAAGGCAGAGAACACGGGAGAACTACAGCCTCTGTAGAAACCGTGTTCATGGAACTGATGATTAAAAGGAAGCTGAGGGCCTGATTGGGACCCTCTACGGGCGCTGGTCGTGTCCTGGCTGCTCCACTTCCCTTCCAGCTCCCTGCTTGGGGCCTGGGAAAGCAGTCGGGCCAAAGCCTTGGGACCCTGCACCCATGTGGAAGACCCGCAAGAAACTCCTGGCTTCAGATTGGCTCAGCTTCAGCCATTGAGGCCGTTTGGGGAGTGAACCAGCAGATGGAAGATCTGTTCTCTCTGTCTCTCCTCTCTGTAAAGCTGCCTTTCCAATAAAAATAAACAAATCTCAAAACAACAAAGAGGAAGCTGGATGGAAGCAGGCGGTGTGCTCCACTGTCAGGCTGAAGGGACAAAGCCCCTACAGCAAACTGAACCTTGGCTTTCCTCGGCCACCAGACCCCCGATAAAGGACAGTCTTCTGACCCCTGTGCCCTCACAGCGCACTGTTGCTTCGGGACTGTGGTTTCTGGCTTACATTCTAACCATTTTCCCTCTGGGTATTTGTGCTCAGAAGTTTACTGAGCAGTGCTTGTAGTTAAAAAAAAAAAAAAGACAGGCCTTCTGGAGAAGTTCCATCTGCAGCATTAGGCCGCCACCCGCACCCCCACTCTTGCGGCTGGGGCCTCCTGGAATCCAAGCAGGAAGTCATTCATTGCGTCCTGCAGTGACAGCCCGGCTTGCTCCCATCTCCGCGCGGGCGGACGGCAGCTCCTGATAGCAAACAGAGCCGCGTTTGCGGGAGAGGTCATTGCTGGCACTCATGGGCTGTTTTCCCCAAGTTAGGAGACAGATGGCTTCAGGGTGGCCCACGCCTGGCGCCCGGCCCTGCTGCGGGGTTGGATGTGTGCGGGCAGGCTGGGAGCCACTGACTGGCAGCGGGCACGCAGCCTGCGGGTACCTTGGGGAAGCAGCCACGTCCCCAGAGATGCCAGGGGCGGCCGCCCAGACACCGCCCTCTGCCGGCGGCCGGCAGCCCTGAATTCCTCCTCTCCTGTCCCCCAGTGTGTGTGTGGCCTTGGTCTCCTGTCCACCTGCACCGCCAACCGCAAGCAGAGTGTGTGCCCTTCCCGCTGCAGAGTGAGGGATACGGGGCTGTCGAGGGGCCTGAGGGCAGAGCCCAGATGCAGCTTGTTGGTCCAGGCCCACATCTCCTCCACGCCACACCTCGCTGGGTCCCAGCAGTCTGCTAACGCTCAAGGATTCAGCCTTGTCCCCCGACACCAGGATGAAGTCCTGCGCCCAGGCCCCAGGGACATGGCTGTATTGGAGATGGTGTCAAGGGGTCATTATGGTGGGCCGTCAGCCAAGCAGAGTGAGGCCCATGTGCAAGGGATCGATGCAGTGGTATAGCAAGCTAATCCACTGCTGGTGGTGCGGGCAACCAGTTTGAGTCCAAGCTGCTCTACTTCCCATCTAGTTCCCTGTTGATGGCCTGGGAAAGCAGTAGAGAATGGCCCAATACCTTGGGATCCTGCACCCATGTGAGAGATCTGGGTGAGGTTCCTGGCTCCTGCCTGCGGATCTGCCCGGCTATGGCCGTTGTGGCTATATGGGGAGTGGACCAGCAGATGGAAGATCTCTCTCTGTAACTCTGACTTTCAAGTCAAATGAATGAATCTACAGATGCACGGGGAAGGATGGCCAGGTGAGGACACAGGGAGAGGACAGCACCTACGCACCCAGGACCGTGCTTGAAGCCGTGTTGTTTCTGACTTCCGGCCCCAGAACCCTGGGAGAATGGATATCTGGTGTTCCGGCTGTCAGATGTCAGCCCTGGGCGAGGGACCCCAGGCAGAGGCAGAGGGGCTAGGAGGAAATGCAGGGCCGTGTGACCTGGGAGCTGGAACCAGGAAGCAAGGATGGGGTGGAGGATGGGGCCACAGCATTCCAGGAGCCCAGGCCTCAGCCGAGTTCCTGAGTTCAAGTGAAACCACCATCTGGGATGGCTGTGGAGGCTGGTTCCTGAGCTCCTGTACTCGGCTTTGAAGATCAAAGCTCCCAGGCAGGGCACGTGGAGCCAGGCTCAGCCTGAGCCTGAAGCTGGCCGGGAGGGGCAGGGCTCTGGAGAAGTGGAACCTCACAAAGATGAAAGGGGACTGCTGGGAATCAGGACGAAAGCCTTGGCCTGCGTGCTGTGCTAAAAGGGAAAAAAGCAGAAAACAAAAAGCCACGGCAAGCCAGCCCCAACGGATGAGCTTCCAGAACAGCCCTGCCCGTGCCCGTGGCCTGGGCCTTGAGGTGCCGTTCACCCACCCACAC